GTCGCTCTTATCACATCCTCTTGTCTAAGCAGCTCCTCTGTTTTCTCTTGTTATTTTTTTTTATTTTACAGCCAAATATTCCTCATGCACCACTCCTCAAACCACTCCTCTTTGTGCCCACTTCACTTTCTCAATTGTTTCTTTCATCATATTCACTACACCCCTGTTTTTTCACAGTGGAGGCTGTTTGTACTTGACAGTAGGTCTGACTGCTGGTGGTCGAGCCTGAGGCGTGAGTATCAGTTTCATAATCCTCAGCCGGCGTCTTCCACAGTGTTCATCCATTTGAGCCTCTGACCTCGCCTGTGCTGCATCAAGTTCCTCTCAGACTGAATCCTCACACTGTTCTCCACATCCACTCATTTCAAATCAACTGTAGGAAATATCATAAATTGCATTCTTTTTTTGTTTATCTTTGATTGAACTGCAAATTTACCTTATTCTGGTTTGAAAGCAAATTATGATCTTCACATTATGCTCTTCGATGCCATGTAGGTCAGTGGAGAAGAGGGCAAACAGGGAGATGTTTCAGAGCTCTGTTTGCACAGCAGGCAGTTTTCATTCCTGTACCCTGGCTTCTCTCTCTCTCTCTCTCTGTCATTTGCTTTCCCTCCCTCTCTCCCTCTCTATCTCTTGTTCCCTGAGGAGCCCAGCTGGGAGAGGCAGATAAACACACGGGGGCGCGGGGCTTAGCACCCACCCTCCTTCCACAATGCCACGCTCTCCTGTTCAAAGGGCCCAGCCAGAAATGAGAGGGGCTAAACCCGAGCCGAAAATCACAGGGAGAGGAGGCAGCTGCAGGAGAGAGCGAGTATATATACATACAGAGAGAGAGAGAGAGCGAGAGGGGGGAGAGGGAAGGAGAGAGATGTTTATCTGAGGCTGTTTGTGATAATTAGGAGGGAGTATTTATTCTGGTCACTTTCCCTCTACCATTTGTTTGTTCAGAAAAGCACGTGCTACAGTCCGCATGTACAGTATTTATTAGATCTTTTAGCTGCATATTTGAATTAGTGAAGTGTGTGTGTAGACGTACGAACACATTTCTGCGTGTTTGTTTGTGGCCAACCAAAGCTGAAGGGAGTGGATTACATAAAAAAAACAAAAAACACTTCAGTAGAGGAATCCCCTGCAGAGGCTCCAGCTGTGCACCTTGACAGCCAGGTAGGCAGCATTCAGTCTCCACCTGAAGCCTGAAGCTGCAGGAAATGAGTGGAAATTGGAGTCTCTGGTTTATTATCCAGCATTTGGCTTTGATCTGAACTGACCTCATCCACGCAGCCAAACCGAGCTTAGTCCTTTGTGGCCCAGATTAGCCTCACAAAGCATCACCAAGTATTGTGCGACTATGCCCCTGTGAGCAGTTTTCAATGTTCAACAGTGGCAAATAACAGATACTTAGCCTAAATGTGAAGACAAGAGCTACAGCAAAGTTAGGATAATAGACAATGATGCCTTTTCATAAGTGCTGGAATCTCTTTGTTTGTGTACATGTGGGTCAGGATTTATCAGCTGTCACGTTACAATCAAACTGTCAATCAGTTCTCAAACAACTCAGTTGTTAGGAAAATCTCATTTCAACTCAATATCATCTCCCTTCACTGTGCTATAGTAATCTCAGTCTCAGACTCTTTGCATGCAACAGTTAAAATAATAATTCAAAAAAATGTACATCTCATCTTAGTGTAGTGTAGGGTTAGCTGTGCTCTCTGTAATGAAAGTGAAGCAGTTAAACAAGTGGATAATCATTAAACAGATTTATTCCAGCTCATGCTGCATTCTTTGTCCACATGAATATTTATTAAGTAATACTTGTGTACACACTGGGAGCCAATTTCAGCCATCTCAGCTTGACTACCGAAACTCACTGAGGTTGTAACCAGCTGGAAACACCTTACTTCTGACTCTTAGCAAAACACACACCTGCACGGACAGAAGCCCTGGAACTGCAGAGTAGCTGTAGCCTCTACGGAGATGTATATTTTGGGTCAAATTTTTTTCAGTCGCACACACAAAACTGCAACACTTCATGTCATTAAAACTGCTTATGACTTTTGGAGCAAAGAGGAGCAAGAAGAGCTAATTATCCCTCTTCTGTTTGTCACATGAGGCAGGCAAAGCCGTGGCAAAACTTCTCTGCATGCAGCTTCATAATGATGTCTCTTTGGGCCAGAGTGTTGTTGGAGTGGGCAGCAGAGGCAGCAACTTAATTTCATTACAGCAGTGGCAGGGACTGTATGTGTGGGACATGAGAGCATACAGTATATATTGTTTAATATACTTTAACTTACACAATAAAAATGCATTTTTCTCATAATGTTGAGACACCAAGAAAGGCGTTATGACACCCTTGACATATGAGGGTTAGTGTTACGTGCCGTGGTGTTGGGTTGTGCGTGCTGGTGCGCCCCCTGCCCTCCCCCTCTTCTCCTACAGGTGGCTCAGCACGGCTGTCCCTGGCTCCCAATCAACAGCCGGAGTTGAAAGGCGGAGTGGGGGAGGCTGGCCATTTGTCTCCTTGAGAGAGAGCTGCATGGAGCTGTAGTGGTCATTAACTCCGATAGTGATCTTCTTCTTAGGATTATCTTGCTTCTCTGTTATTGTTAGTTTGTGTTATCTAGTGCTGCTGTCGTAGCCTGATAAAGAAGACTAAATCAACTGTATCAGCATCCGATGTGTGAGGGAGAGCAATCACCATGTTTCTGAGTTATCAGGTTCAACTTGAGCGAACGCACATTTCATTTGTCTGCTGTCAGTAATGTGTTCTATCATTATAACTATACTATATACTGTACTGTAACTGTTTTGAGCTTCTTGTTAGGGTGCTGTTTCTTCTGCTTTCCAGAATATATTGGATTCATGATTCCTTTCATTAATCTTTCCCATCATGTAATATAATTTACAATGCTTATCAGTGGTACTTATACATGACATACTACTTTATACTACAACTACTTTATACTGTACCTGTAAACAACATTAAAATGCTGTTTACAGGTCAAATTAACCCTCGCTGGAGCCAATTTGTGACCTGTCACCCCCTAGTTTCACTGTAGGGACATTCAGTATGTATTATTAGCGGTCCAAGCAGAAACACGTGTGGTGGTGAAGCCATCATCCGGTGACTGTGGAGGGCGCACAAGCAGGGATGTCTTCCTCCAGACTCTAAGACTCTGTTCATCCCAATTCAGCTCAGCCCACACACTCACTGCAGCTATTGTAGACCCTGTGCTGACGGGGCCAAAATGCTATGAGTTGGTGTTGAATTGGCTTCACAGCAGAGAAATTGTGGAGATGTCTGTAAGCAAAGTGTTTGAATGGATCAGGGACTGCTGATCCTCACTGTTTTTCTACTGGGGCTTGGTGGTAGAAATTCATCCCTTTTTCTTGTGACTCCATTTTGACGTGTAAAACTCTTCATGCAATAATTGATACTTCTAAAGTCATTGTATTTGTCAATTAATATCTTATCAAAGCTGCACTTGTTGATTTTTATATTAATGATTGATGATCAAATTATCATGTGCAAAGTGAGGTGTTGCTCATACTGACAAACCCACAGAGAATTATCAATGAACTCTGCAGTTCACCCCAGCTATACAAAGTGTTTTAGCCTCTTTCAGCTCATTGTTTTGGTTTTTGGGCCAGCAACTTTACTGTTTGGGTTCACTCCACCATTCTCATCTGTGTTTTTTGTGGCAGCAGCAGGCTGATGTTTTCAGCAATCCTGTCCAGAACAGCAGACAGAAAGTCAGGAGCTACCTGGTGAACATGGTCAAACATTTAGCAACTGAAGAGCCAGTTGGTGAAGAGCAAAACGGAGGAAAAAGGAGAGTGAATATTGGGCTTATGTTTGTCAGGTGGATAGAAACATGTTAATGTTGCTCTGTGACTGCTGGATGTGTCAATAGGCAACTGTTAACACACCATAACAACTTTATATGGTGATGATATGCCAGTGTTGTGTTTAAAGCATGTTCTGCTGCCCCCAAGTGGTCAAAAGTCAATTAACACAACTGTGACACATTCATCTGTGTGTTGAAGTTCTGCAAAACAAATGAGCACATTTACCATGGTTGGACACATCCTCTATGATCCACTTTAGAGACGTTTAGATTGGCTTATCAGGTTTTACCTGTCCTGATTGACAGTGTCAGTAAAGTCTGTTCAAAATCACATTTGTATTGTCACTCATCAGCATAAGCCCTCTGTTATCACACCAATTCACATGAACAGCAACTCCACCATCTTTACTGCAGTCCAGAGATCCTTTCAGTTACCTCACTAGTGCATAGTGATAATCTGTGTTAAATTGCAGATTTCAGATGGGCTTAAAGTCTCTAAACAGAATGCAAAGTTTAAAAAACAGTAGTGTGAAATGCGGCAGGACAGCATCAGGAAAGTGACTATATCTTTAACTAAACTTTCTCTCAGGCTTTTAGAAAACTGAAACTGACTCCATTGTAATGTCAATAAGTGTGTCTAGTAAAAACCAGTGGGATTAATACTGTGCTCCTACATCAGTTTACTACAAAGTAAAGCACTGTCTCCTGATTCATGGTCTCGGTGGCAACCACAGAAAAATCTCATTCCCAGTCTTTTCTAGGCCCTATCTCCTCCATGCTGATCAGCCAACTCAGTGTCTGCTGTACTGACAAGCCAGCAAATGTCCAAGCCAAGAGCCGACACCGTTCTCTGATAATTTGATCAGAGTTGATGCAGCATGTTGTTCTCACAGTGGTTCTCTTTGTAAGAGTATGTTGAAGCAGATACTGAGAGGCTGAGAGAGAAAGCTGTGGGTCTGATGACACTGACAGTATCACCTTGTCGCAAGTGGTTGTGTGTGACTGTGTGTACATGCAAATACGGTGTTTGGCCTGGATCATGTATACAACTGTGCTTTTCATCAAGTCATCTATTGCCTCAGTTCAAACCAGTTTGTACTGTAGGGTCATCTTCACAGCAGGCATCTGATTTTCCTCTTTTATTTCTTTGTGCAGCTTTTTGCCATTTTTGCCTTCGCGACATGTGGGGGCTACTCGGGGCAGCTGCGGGTTAGCGTGGACTGCGTGGAGAAGGGCAGCAGCAACCTCAGCATCGGCATCGACTTTGCTTATCCTTTCAGGTGAGTGGGGTTCATTCATAGTCTCAAAGTCTGATGGCAGAAGTATGAACCTGTGTATACTCTGACGCTAATGCAGTACCACCATGGGACACCATGTAGGAAACTTAATGAATTCAAAAATAATGTGTGTGGGTGTGTGTGGGAGCATTTCTTTAAAAGCGAGCAGTTCTCATGAAGTAATTAGTCAATGCTGTGATCACTGGAAAATAAATCACATTCCCACTTCACTGTGTTGGGGTACATACAGAAATCACAAAGACGGATATTTCAGAGCCACCTCAGATAAAACTTAAGCTATCTGTATTGCTAGACACCATTTAGGAATAAATAAGAAAATGTGTTTTTTACTGTGACTCTAAGTGACTCTTAAACTCAACGTCATTCAATCCCCTAAATCTGAGTTAGGGAACTGAATTCCAGTGGATGTAATTCCTTTCAGCTGCAGTCTGTTAAGTAAATAATTAAATTATCAACCTACTGGTATCATCTGCAAACATCCTGTGACTACAGTATAATGGCTTACCAATCTTTACCAACTGCTACAGGTAGTATGCTAGGTCAGCACATATCACAGAATCACATCTTATTGCTGCAACGCACGCAAACCACATGATTGCAATATTGTTCTTTTACAACTATTGAATTTCCTTCCTCCAGTTGTCAGAGTTTGCTGAACCCATAGGCTGAACCACATAAGAACAATAAACCACTGTATAAACCAGTGTGTCATCAGTTACCAGGGCCTACTTTGGCAACTCCTGCACCTCTCTCCTTGTGTGCCAGGTTGTACCAGGTGTCGTTTGAAGCGCCCGCGTGTGAGGGCATGAGGAGGGAGCGCGTCTTCCTCATTGGAGACTATTCATCCTCCGCAGAGTTCTTCGTCACCATTGCCGTCTTTGCCTTCCTGTATTCCCTGATGGCCACCATTGTCTACATCTTTTTCCAGAACAAATACCGCGAAAACAGTCGAGCCCCGCTCATTGTGAGTATCACGGCCACTGAACTGGGACCTTTTTGTACCATTACCATTAAATTCTTTTATCTTTCTGTTTGACATCTTGTGTCCACACTGCCAAAGGAATCATAATGCCAGATATAAAAGCCACATTATTAAAAATCTGTACAAAACAAACCCCAAAGTAATGTTTCTGTCATATTTCTATTAATATCTGAACTGTTTGTCTCCTCTCTCGTCGGTACCATCAGGACTTCGTAGTGACCGTGGTGTTCTCCTTCATGTGGCTGGTCAGTTCCTCCGCTTGGGCAAAAGCTCTGTCTGATGTGAAAGTGGCCACTGATCCCGATGAGGTGCAGCTCCTCATCTCTGCCTGCAAAGTCCAGACCAACAGGTGTGGCTCTGTGCACGGATCGCGCTGGTCCGGACTCAACACCTCAGTGGTAGGTTTGCAGGATGTGCATTCCAGACAGTGGGAATTAATGAGTAAATGAATTAGAATAGGCTACAATTTTCGGATATGAATGAAATATAAACTCAAAAAAAGCTACATATTTTATGAATTATGAATGATATGAGAATGATCTGATAAGAAGAGTAAAATAGCGCCTAGAAGAATCAAAATATAGATCCAGAAATACAAGAACATGAGTATGTAAGGTTGACTAAAATTTCTAATCTGCCCATGTTTCATATCGCTATTCCTTGTCTTTCTCTTCAGGCTTTTGGGTTTCTCAACTTTGTTCTATGGGCTGGAAATATCTGGTTTGTCTTTAAGGAGACCGTTTGGCACAAGGGTGCTTCTAGGTTGGCAGGCGGGCCGTCTGAGAAACAGGCCAGCACCTTTGACCAGCAGCCCTACAACCAGGGAAGCTTTGACCAGTCAGGAAGCTCTAACACCCAGGGAAACCTCGGCCCACCGTCTGAGTACAGCCAGGTGGGAGGGCCCACCTCATATACCAATCAAATGTAGCCGTGCCTTTTCGTTTCATGAGTGGCATTTCTGCATTTCAAACCAGGGCAATCAGAGGGTGATAGGAGAGGAGGAAAGTCGAGTTAACTTTCCCTGTCTGCTCAGTTTATCATCAATCTGTAAGTGCAAAAACAACAAAATCAAAAAAGATGGTGTCAAAGGTGTTAAAGTGCACCCACTGTAAATACAAGTATTGTTGGGTATTGTACAAAATGATTAGATATAGTCTTTTACTCCTTCTGTTTCAGAGGTGTTTGCTGAATGTTGTATTTCTTGTAGTTGGAAAAACATTCGTGACAGTTTCTCTCTCTGTGCTTGGTTGTTGACATTCACCGTTTGACTGGATGTCTTTTTCAAACCGGTTTGAACTTTGTGGTGGAAGGAAAAAGTGCTCTATGTTTGTATCATTCTTCACGTTTTCAAGTGCATGATGTTGTATGTGTGCTAATATGCGCTCTGTGACACTAGTAAAAAAGCAACAACATGCATTTTATCTCTGAAAGTTTACAAATTCACACTGAGTCATTACTCAAAGTTTATTTTGATCAGTATTATTACTTTTTTTTTAGTATTTTGATAATGGGCATTTCTAATTCAGGTATAGATTCAGAAAATGATTTAGGGACAGTTCTCCGTTCCATTTGTTACAAACACATTTCAACATGTCTGAGATTGGTTTTTGATAACATCAGAAAGACTAAAAAAACCTAAAGCAATAACTGCATAGTGAAAAATACACTATACAGGGTTTGTGAACAAACAAAGTACAGTGCAGCGTGTTATTTGTTTTCATGGTTTTCATTTTTTTAGTTGCATCTGCTATCACATCTCATTTTATTTGAATAATGAGAAGAGAGAGATTGTCTCCCTCGTTGTTTACAAGTGGCAGCTCTTGCTACAGATTACTGTGACTGTTTTCTATGCTCTCGTCAGACGACTGGAAAATTATAAACATAAGTTATACCTCTTCAAAGCATGTCCAGAGTATCCATTTACACATTTAAAGCCCAGCAAAAAAGCACATCAGTACCAGAGTGATAATAGAAGAATAGTGAATAGTGGGTTCATCTGTACATAGTTAATACTGAGCTTTTGTTTACTTCAAAATCACCATTCAGGTTTGTACAACTTTGAAAAAAAAATATGTGCATTTCATGTTAAAAATAATGATCAAAGGATAATGCTTGGTTTGTTTACATTAATATGACTTGTGCAACCCTGTTTTTTGACCTCCTAAGCATGTGGCTTGCAACAGTGTAATAAAGCAGACTGAACATCCCTGTATGTATAAAAGTCTGACGTCCATGGTAAACGTGTACTGGTCTATAAACTGAGTGTGGATCATGTTTTACAGGGATTCATGCTAAAGATGCACAAATTTGGCCATAAATGACACAAATTCATGTATCTGCTCTGATCTCTTTGTCTGGTTGTCTTCTGACCTTTGACCTGCTGCCTTTGTCTCCACGGAAACAGGGATGCTTCATTTGTCCACAAGACTCTGTCAGGTACGATGTGAAGCACAGAGTGAAAGGTTGAATCGTTTGCTCTTTCTGTTGGTCATCAGAAACAGTAATGTGCAGTATTTTTGAGACAAGACAAATCTTACGTTCACAACCTTGTCAGTGTCACAGTTGACTCATGGAGATAACAAGCTTTGCTGTTGCATGTCTTCACCCTAAAGACATGTGAGGAAAACTGCAGTTGTCTCAGTTTTGTCAGATTAGCTTGTCGGTAATAACATGGGTCAGATGTGCTGCCTTCAGATTGGAGACGGATACTCTTAAGGGAAAATAACATTTTTGTTTGTTGTGGGAAAGAACCACGTGCAAGTGGAAATATTATATTCCTCACTACCACACAGATAAACTGTACTAAAGTGTACACTGACAAATATACTGTGTACTGAGATGTAGAGGCCCAAAGATCGACACAGTGTTTCCCTTATACAGAATTAATTTGTAGTTTATAACCAGCGCTAAACATAAAGTTCTAAACATATAAATGGTATCTTTTTTTGTTGTTGTAGTAGTAATAATAATAGTGGTATAGTGTACAAAATAACTGCCTGAAGAAACAGAAACTAAATTCCCTCCAGTCTGTAGTGACTGCTCCCTTCAGACCAAGACAGCATCTAAATGTATTGTATTATACAGTGTACTAATAACTGAGAGGCAGGAGTGAGGAGATTTGTTTTACATTTGGAAGTTTGTAGAGGTGTTTAACCCTGTCACAGGATACAGGCTGGGAGCTTGTTGTCACAATTTTGATTTATAACTGCTCTTTGAAACATCAAGAGGATACTTTAGTTAGAAATTTGAGGTATTTCAATTAAAACAGATGCTTTTTTTCAAAAGGGTCAAGTATGTAAAGGGGTGTTAGTGGGAATGATGGCCCCATCTTACTGGTAAATGTGTTTTTTTTTCACAGTGACTTTAATTATATAAAACTAGATTAACTAGAATCACTGGCAGATATGCCTCTGCCAACCAGTTAGGTTGCAGGAAATATGGTCATAATCTCCCTTTGACCATTTGGAGATAAAATGTCATCACTTTATCACCTTATCCTGTTACACTTTTGTGTTAAATTGTGTCATAAAGTGCTCAGTAACCTTGACCTTTGACCACCAAATTCTAATTGGTTTATCCTTGGGTCCAAGCGAACGTTTTATATTTGTCATGGTGTTTGTGAGATATCAGGTTCAGGAGAATGGGACACACAAACTGAAAACATAATGCCTTGAGCATCATCCACTTATTGAACATGATGTCTTGGATAATATATTGCAAACAATATAAAAATAAATGTATGCATAGATCTTGGTTAATTGGTGTCAGGGTATAGGCCCTGACCTTACCCTATATAGCTGAATGACATCTGGGCCAACTGTTTCACAGTCTCTATATGTTTCCATACCATAGTTGGTATCATAGCTCATAATTGGACATCTGTAATGCTTTGATAGATCTTTCCACCTTACATTATGCACACTCCTACATTTAATTACCTTTACCTACATCACCTATATCTGCATGTTCTACTCTGCTCCCATCTGTAGGCAAATACAAATTAACTAACCAGGTGTGCTCCTTCACATGTGATTTTATATTAATTATGGAGTCTGTGCAGTGAATGAGCCAACACCACAGCAACAAGTGTCAAACATGGGTTTGACTATGTGATAGGACTTACTGTGGCAATCAAGTTAAATCTGGACTCGTGTTTGATGTTGTACAAGCCACGTTTTCTATCATCCTATCCTCCATCAAAACTGTATCCCTGAAACAAAGTGCCCTATGGTGTCTACACAATTTAAATGTGTGGACCTCAGAGCTAAAGGAGTTTCCAGATTTGCCTGTGCACAGTTAATTGGCATCATCCAACCCCTGTGGGATCTCAAGTGCCTGGTGGAGAATGGACCTACAGGGAACCAGAGAAGGAGTGGAAGCTTGCAAGAAGTACCATGGTTACAACGTATGTATTTTGAAAATTTTTCTTTTTTCTGCAAATGAACTCACTTCTTGTAGACAAGTTCACTTTATGCTTTAGCTACATTGCTGATGTTTATGATAGTGTCTGTAATAATGTTTTTTTTCTTTCCTTTTTCTTATGCTAATATTACACAGTTATCATAGACTAATTACACATGGACTATTGCAAAACATTATAACAGGAAATTAAAAGAACTCATGACTATGACTTATTCAGTTATGAATGTGAGTATCCAGTATATTGTTTCATTTTGCTCATAATAGTAGACATGTTATGTTTGTTTTCAGGACGAGCTGAATAATATTAAGTACATGTGGAACGAACCCAACCTGTGTCCAAACCAAATGTGCCATATCGAATCCAAATGTGATGTACTCCACTCCAGAGTGACGGGACACTGAGGACTGTGTCATGCCACTTGAGCAAAAGGAGATGGACATGTCCAAAGGACGATGTGTGTTTTTCAGTTACGTTCCTTGCGATGAAGCTATATTAGATCTTTGTTGTGGAGGAGTTAGGGTCACAGTTCCCCAGTAAAAAGACGTTGATCTATAATTAACACGAAGGAATGTATCAACATACAAGTGAGTGATGACTAGATATTTTTTGTAGTATTAGCCTACGAGCTATACCTTTCTCACTCGTGTGTCATAAGTTGCAAAGAGTTCATTCAGACAGTGATCTGTTTTATTTTAGTAACCTTAGGCCTATTTAGAAATGCAGGACATTTAAAGTGGTTTAAACAGCCACTGCCTCTATAGATGTTGTCTGCTATGAATTATAAAAAGCTGTTGTATAACATGAAGGAAATACTCACAGTCATTTGTGTACACCTGCGTCAAGAACAGAGTCTAAAAGCTCAATTTGAAAATGCTTCACTTTGAACACTGAACCTGAAGCTTTGATGAAGGTTTATTGAGCGCATTGAGAGTGAACCAAACTGTAAAGCTGCAGTCCATAAAACCAAACGTTCAGACTGCAACTCCACCTGAGGAGGAGCTGTGATAGTGGACTTAAACTTGGAAGCAAAGAGGAAATGCAGATTCCAAACAAGCCATACAGAGCAGTGTGGGAGTGGAGGGGTTTTTTTGCCTACTCTCAATGTTTCTCTCAGGTTTGGGAACTGTGATAATCTTTAATATGTGTGTCAGACACCATAACAGGGTTTATGTTGAGGGAAAATCATAAATGCCCAGAGCCAGCTGGGCCTCAGGGTCTTGTCAGTGGTGAGCAACAGTCTCACATCACATCTGGTTTTTCATTTTTAACATGTCCATTAGTGCAGCTTTAAGATATCTCTTAACACATAAACACACACCCCTCACTGCATGTTGGAAGTTTACTGTACTGTTTCAGTCTTCAAACACTAATGTAGCTTCATCACCTGATCCTGAAATTGGCCTGTAGCAGTTTTATACATGATTTGACCATTTTGTTCAACTTTCAGTTCTGTGTGTTTTACTTTTGTTCATCTTCTCTTTTGTTGAAATATTCAGATGTGAGGGATGCATGAGATATGAATGGATATACAGTTAAGTAACTGCTGCTACTATGGTGATGACTGTCCTTTTGCAGTCTTGTTGGCAATAACATGACGCTAGTCATCGTCCTCACTTGAAATAAGCGAATTATAGAAAGTCAGTCTATAATCTGCATGTCAACTACGTGAGAATTAATTTGTAAAACAAGGTGAATCCAAACATGTCCCCATCACTTTAAATGCATGACAACAAATCTTATATCTGTTTTTGCTGTTAAGATGAAAAAAGACCATTTCAGCTAGTTTAGAAATGTTTATCTATGCTGTTTCCTGGACAAATGAATTATGAGCTGTATTATAAAGTATACTGCAGTCAGCATACTAATATAGTCCCTGACAATCCATGTTTTCCAGCAGCATGACACAGTGTGTAAACAGTCACAATGGTGGAGTGTAATCCATTTTGTCCTCTACATGGATCTTTAGATGTGTGTTTAAGTTGCTCTTCCTTTTGAAGCTTTTCCCACACACCATGCAAAGATGCGGTCTCTCCCCTGTGTGTGTCACCATGTGCGTCTCCATGTCGCCTTTCCGGTTGAAGCGGCGACCACAGTCGGAGCACTGGTACGGTCGTTCCCCCGTGTGGATTCTCATGTGCAAAGTCAAAGCTCCCCTCTGCCTGAAGTTCACACCACATTCCTTACACTGGTACGGCTTCTCACCCGTGTGGATTCTCACGTGGTCTTTCAAATGGCTCGACTCTTTAAAACGTTTTGCACACATGGGACAAGTGTGTCTCCTCTCCCTGGTGAGATTGTTCACATCTTCCTCCACCCCAATACTCTCTCCGTCCTCGCTGCACAAGATGGAGTTTTTCCTCTTCTTTCTTGTTTCTGTCGGTGCGAGCGCCTTAATCCATTCTCCGTTCACCACACCATCTCTATTCTGACCATATTCACAGTGATTTAGGAAGTAGAAGGGTTGAGATGCTCTGGTCCGTCTGAACAATTTGCAGCCTTCTCCATCAGCGTCTCTTCTCTGTTCCTCTGCTTTGTGAAATGTTTTGTTGCTCAGAATCTGGTCGTGGCTCGGGCTACAAGAACGAGGCTCATCATAATCACTTTTCTCTGACTGAAGATAGAGTTCATACTCATGGTCTGTCTCTCCCCGAGGACTAGATGGTGTAAACTTTTCCACTTTGATCTGAGGGGGATCGGGGTCCTCATGGTCCTGACAGAGGCTCCAGTCTTGTTCAGTGTACTGCTGCTCATCAGGCCCATCCTGCTCATGATGAGTGATTTCAAGTGGATCTACAAGGAAGAAGGTGTGAAAATATACTCAATTTTGCAGATAATGCACAGTTTTTAGTGTTGCGTCTGCTGTGGCACACGGGTGAACACAAAAACTAAAAACTTTGACCCAGTCTTCTCCTCACCTTTCAGGGTTTCTTGTCGAAATCCAGAAGACTCTGGATTTCTTCCACCGGGGACCTCAGCCTCCCTGATTGGTGCAGATGTTATAAACTCATCAGCATCAGGCTCAGCTTTGATATCTGCTCTCTGTTCAACAGTTAATATTCTGTAGAGGTGTGAGTGTGGCTCCTTGTCACCTTCTCTTTTCATAAGCTGAGGAGACACTGTCACGCTGTCACGCTGCTGCCAACAGGACGGTCCCCGCTGATCTTCCCCCTGGACTTGCTCCTCTTTGACATGCAGGGTGTTCGGGGGACCCGGGCTATCACCTGGGGCCCGGTCAGGAGACGCCTCCTTATCACAGACCTGATGAGCCTCTGAATGACATGAGAAACAGAAAAGACTGGGCATCAAAATGTACTCTAGATTCACATTTAAATCTGAAATGAATCATGTACATATTGTTTTATGTCATATTTGTTTATAAAACATCCTTATAAAATAACTGTTACTGTGACCCACAATTTGACAATATCACAAAACCCGGAGTGGGCTGCAGCTTCATCAGGGAAGCTGCAACTCCTCATCTTTGATTATCAAACGCTAAATAACTAACGATGAGTCTTAGCCTTGTTTATCGCCGAGTGAGAGCATTTCATCCACACAACCTGATCTGTGTAATCTGACTTCATGCCGCAGCAGCAGTGATCGCAGGTGATCTATCTCCTGCTTGGATCGGCCGATCTCTTCCTGGTGCTCGGTCAACGTTTTCTCCACCGCCCCGAAGATCTCCACAGCCGCCGCCGTCAGCCGCTCACAGATGAAGGCGTTCAGATGCTGCAGAGTGCCCATGTCTGTTCGCTCTCTGGTTTGGCCTTTTCTTAACACATCTCTGGACGTGACTTCCCTGTTGTGAACGCTGTCAGTCAGTGGTGATTTTTAAAAGGCCGATTTATAGTTGTATATCCTGCTGATCACACACAGGAGGCTGAGGCTGCCCTCCGTTCTGCGTTCACTTCAGGTGCTCACGGAAATATTGGCACTGGCTTGTAGGCCACCCGTAGAAAAAGCGGTTTGACTCATAGACTGTATATTTGCCTGTTAGGAAAGCATCAACTTGCATTAACATTTTTTTCCCCCACATATTTAGACACGTTAATAGATGTCAAATGAAAAGCCCAAGTCATTGTTTGATACCTCTAGTAAATTTGTGCTTTTCACGTGTTACCATTGCATTAGTACGGAGCCCCTAAAGTCCCAAAGGGTGATATTTTTTTCATATTGTGCGCACAAGTTCATTGTTATCTTTGTCGTATTTTTTAGTCCTGCCCAGCTCTTTCACATCAAACTAGGAAAAACAATTTCTTGTGAATAGGGCCTTGTTGAAACAGGAAATGCTTTCTCAATTTCCACAAAGTTGGTTGCATACACATTGTCTAAAATATAGTGTATGCTGTAGCATTAAGATTGAATTCATTTGAACTAAAGGGCGTAGGCTATAGCCCAAACCATAAAAAGCCCCAAAGCAAACGTAGACAAAAGTATGTGGACAGGAGTGTATTATGCCTTTGGGAGATTTTTTTCTAGTGGACACGGAGGTGAATCCATTAAAGACAATCAGATCATCCAAATGGTGTGGTTTTATTTTTGATCATCTCTGTTGCCAGAGTAAAAGACAACACAGTCATATCTGATGTGTTCTTCCAAATTAGAAATACTGATAAGAGCCATGAATCCTGTATCTATATTCAGGAAGGCAAACACAGGTACTTCAAAAAAATGTATTGAACATTTTACATGGTTATGGTATAGCTATATATGAGCTACCATTGCCCGACAACTGGGTGATTTACAGCATCATCGAGAGGAACATCACCATTTATCAACCACACGTTAACTTCATCAATGAATTAATTGACACTCAGCATCTTGGCTTTATACCATATTTCATGTTTTTCAGCTTCTTCACCCGGCAGCAAACCAGTGACCTGCATATGTTGTGCTGTATGCATTAAATAAACCCTTTATAAACACACGCGCGCGCGCACGCACCACTCATACAGTACATACATACAGTATATATTATACCGTATATAGCAGTATAGCACAGTATACAGTCTCTCTCTCTCTCTCTCTTACTCGCAAAAAGTAAAGGGGAATTAATTGTTGCTTAGCACACAGAGTGGATGCTGTGTAGTGTTGTTATGAAAGGGTTTTCAATAGTTTGTGTTTCCCTAAAAAGAAACCAAAACCTTTAAGATGATCCGTGGAGATGCATCAATCTGTTACACTTTAAGAGGAAAACAGGCTAGGATTTTGCGGTGTGTGTGTGTGTGGTGTGTGGTGTGTGTGTGTTTGTTTGTATATATATATATATATATAGTATATATATATATATAATATATATATATAAAATATAAATCAAGTATTTGCATCAAATGCCTTTTTTCAATAATAGTGCATTTTTGGATATACCATGTTCTAAATAAAGCTCCACTGTCTTCCATCGGCTTGTAAATACGTTTCAATATGGTGACAGTAAAGGCCTGGATGTTGAATAAAACCTCAAAATTAATACTCAATATTTGTTACATGATCACATGGTTTATTCTTGAAATTACGTCAAAGAGAAATGAAAGTCAAGGAAACAAAACCCAGACTAAGTTTCGATTTCCCTCTCTCTGTTTATGTCTGTCCTGTACTTATGCAACTTATGCACACACTGCGCTCTCTGCGAACGGTCAGCTTATTAGCAACGGGAGATACAAGAGACAAGAAGTCTTCACCATGAACACTCTGAACCAACAGTATGAGGAGAAGGTTCGTCCCTGCATTGACCTCATCGACTCTCTGCGCTCTCTGGGCGTAGAGAGGGACTTGGCTCTACCTGCTATCGCCGTAATAGGAGACCAAAGTTCCGGGAAGAGCTCTGTGTTGGAGGCGCTGTCAGGGGTGGCTCTGCCAAGAGGAAGTGGTAGGTCTTTTGCTTTTGACCTAAGAGCTAATATACATTATATATATATATATATATATCAACAGTGGTTTGGTACATTACATTACTCAATTAAAATCTATTATGTACAAAAATCCGCTTCTAGTGTTTTCATGACGAGCATCTTTATGTATGTAATTTCTTATCTCTCTCTCTCTCTCTCTCCCTTTCTCTCCCACTCTCTCTCTCTCTCACTCGCAAAAAGTAAAGGGGAATTAATTGTTGCTTAGCACACAGAGTGGGTGCTGTGTAGTGTTGTTATGAAAGGGTTTTCAGTAGTTTCAAATTCAAATTAAACATCTCAAATTGATCCAAGTAATTTAAACCTAAATGATAATAAAAGGTAAACAATATTTATATATAAACTATACATTGCAATATACAGTGTTCCTTTAAAGCATGCACCCAATTTCAATTTCAAAGTTGTCACTTTCAGGCTTTCTCTGCTTTCATCTGCACATTGTACTCTTTAAAGTAATTAAAACTATGGTAAATTAGTGTTGAGCACTATATGATATAGAGGGGAAATTTTTACCCATATTTGCAGGGTATTACAAAGTGGACAACTTTGTATCTAACTGATAATATGGTCTTACCTTGTATTCTTACTGAGGGCAGAACTAGCGGTCATATACAGTATAGTAAATTAAATTTACTTTAATTTGTGTTATTATGGTTCTTTTGAATAAAAAAATACTACATCAAAAACTTAACTCTTTTGTAGGAATAGAGGCAGGTTTGTTCCAATTAGCAAACTATATTGTCACAATAAATATTGTAATAAATGTGGCAAAGACTGCAAATAAGACAGCAGAGTTGTCAAGTAACCACAAAATGGGAGAGAGAAAATAGGGCAATCTTTGTTAACACAGTGATCATTCAAAATTCATAGTGCTATATGAATAATCCACTGCTATACTACTAGTACTACTACTACTACTACTACTACTACTAATAATAATAATAATAATGATAATAATAATAATAAAAATAATAATAAGTTTTATTTATAAAGCACACTTCACATTATAGGCCTAAAGGTACTTTTTTCATGCCATACATGCATTGAACACAAAATGACTGCACCTGGGAACACTTGTTACTTGCCTTATTTTATATGATTTGCTCTCTGGTATTTATTTATTTAACCTATCTGCTGCTACCTGCTCATCCGCACTCTTGTATGTTGTACATGTTACATGTTTTTAATGGCATGTTATTGTACATTGGGCGAGGCCATATACAAATTTCCACTAAGGTGGACAATAAAGTCAATCGGTTAATCAATTAAGGAGCAAAGAGCAGGAATAGAATCAATCAATGAATTAACCTCCACAGCTTACAATACACAAATAACATGAACTATTGTTCATGAATATCAGTAAGCAGTTAAAATCTGCATCAATCACTTGTTATTTGGCCCATCATCTATCCATGATCTAATAATGTCACCAATTACAATGAATTTCACATTTTCCTCTGTGTTTCATTATTCACTCTTTCATAATTCAGGCATCGTGACAAGATGTCCTCTCGAACTGAAGATGAAGAGAAAAAACAAAGGAGAGGAGTGGTGCGGAAAGATAAAATACCGGGGCCAGGATGAGGAAATTATAAACGACCCTGCAGATGTGGAGAAAAAGATTCGTGAAGGTACAGTATGCAGCATTCGTGAGTTTAGTTTTATTCGTTTTTCAGTGATCAGCATGGCTGTCCTTTCTTATCATCATGTACTGTATCACATTCTCTCTCTCCAGCTCAGGATAAAATGGCTGGGGTTGGTGTGGGGATCAGTGATGACCTGATCAGTCTGGAGATTGCCTCTCCTGATGTTCCAGACCTGACACTCATTGACCTGCCCGGCATCGCCAGGGTGGCTGTAAAGGGCCAACCAGAGAACATTGGTGATCAGGTATGCTGCTTCAGCTCTCAGAACTTTATTATTCTTTATTCAGATAGGGACAGAGAGAGAGTGATAGATAGATAAAACTGACCGACTGATAAAACATGTGCGGACTTCAAAGGACCTGAGCTTACTGAGGAAAAAGAGCCGACTCTGGCATCTGTGTTCAGGGACCACTTTAGAACCATACACAAGTCCAGTTTCCACTCGTTTAACGCGTCAGTTCATAGCAGGATACCTCAGAAAATTTGCTGTGGTTGTTCATGCAGCTGAAATAACAAACCACACACAGGCCCTGACCTTTCCTCAACTGCTGCAGTTCGGTTAAACCAGGGGTTTTCAATGTCGATTTGGCACATAAACATGCTTTGAGTTTTGGAATTACAGCCCTCATAATTTTGAGGCTTAGACAGGAAGTATTACATTACCATGGAGTCATTTTATCTTTAAAAAAAAAAAGAAAAAAAGTCAGTTTTAGATTATGGTGACATCTTGTACAGACATGCTTCAGCTGCAACTCTAAAACCCCTTGATGCTGTCGACCACTCTTCAGGTCCAGACTAAGTCTAGACCTCTTCACCAACACTTAACTTTCTACAAAACTACAACAACAACAAAAAAAGTCACTGGAGATGATCAGAGTCCAATGCAATAGAATTTATTCTTTCACGAGAATAAAAGCGAGATCAGATCCGGATCCAAACTGAAGACAGAGAGCCTGTGCACAATCATATATAATCCTTTCCTAGGTGGGTTCTCCACCTATTTTCTAAAGTGAACCTATCACCACTTTGGGAGCAATGGTGTCCAGCCCTGTGTGGAATTCCCCAAACCAGATCTGCCAGGGTAGCGTAGTAGGATGAGGTGTCCTGAAGCCCCTTGTCCACCTGTCCTAAGACTCCTGTGGCAAGGCGTGTAGTATGACCAGGCATCCAAGAGCCCCTCCACCACCCTAAACCTAAGGCCCTCGTCTATTCTCAATGTGGGCCTCGCTACGGCTGCTACTCCAACACCATTGCTCCCAGGGCATTCAGACCTTTTTTTTTATTTTATTTTATTCCCTCCAGGATCCGTTCTGTAACAGTCTTACTTCAGTAAAGGCTGGTTCACATACAAATCTAACCTCAGTTGTGAGTGTAGCTATTCCAATGCATTATATAAGTTTAACATTCAGTATATTTATAGTGCATAGTATATTTTAGTGAAAATTTACTACAACAGTATTTGTTTATTTACAAAGCCCTTCTTGGACAAACTGCCATCATATATTACTTCCACATTAGTTTGGTCAGCTGGACCACATTACACCAGGACTAATGACTGGCTTACCCTCCATGTCCCTTGAGTCCATACTGAGCTTGGAAGAACTGCTTTTGGCTTTTTTCGCACCATCCACCTGTAACTCACTACAAGACTACACTTAAAAATTAATTTGTTAGTACTTCTTGGTCATTTTAGATTCTTAATCTCTAACCTTTTAACTTGTGTTTGTATCTGTTTCAATTCATTCTTTTCATGACATTATTTATTAGTTGTATTTATATGTTTGTTTTAATTTGATGTCATTTTTCAACTGGTATTCTTATCTACTTTACATCATTGTAATGAGGGCTTTACCCTCAATGATCTTCGAGTTTAAATAAAGAAATATATTAAGTTGGGTGTGGGCTACACCTTGAGCATCACTTTTTGCTGTATTTGTTTACATTTTGGCAAGTTGGCATCATTAAAAGTATGCAGAATTAGCTTTTAGTTTTAAATTTAAATGTAATAAATTTTGGTTTAGCTTTCTGTTTGCAGTGTTCCCATGTTCTGATGTACAGACAATTATCACTTGATTCCTTTGATATTGAAAAACACGTAAAAACATGATGATTCTCTCTCTCTCTCGCTCTCTCTGCCCATTATAATCATTCATGTGGCTTTAGATTTGTAGTCTTTTTCTAATACACGTTCATTATTTGATTTTGGTAGTTTATAACTTTATGCTTGATGTTATATGAATTGATACTTTCAGATAAAGAGACTAATCCAGAAGTTCATCACAAAACAAGAGACCATCAGTCTGGTGGTTGTTCCATGCAACGTGGACATAGCAACCACAGAGGCTTTGCAGATGGCACAGCGGGTGGATCCTGATGGAGAGAGGACTTTGGGTAAATAGATTTAATTTTAGAAAAAGGTCCAACCAGCTCTTAGCTTGCTGTTGTTATGAGTGCTTCCCTCTTTCTCTCTCTGTCTCTCTCTCTCTCTCACTGTCTCTCTTTCTCTCTCTCTCAGGTATCTTGACCAAGCCTGATCTGGTGGACAAAGGCACAGAAGAGACAGTGGTTGACATTGTCCATAATGAGGTCATTCACCTGAAGAAGGGCTACATGATTGTGAAGTGCAGGGGTCAGAAGGAGATTAAAGAGAAAGTGTCTCTGACTGAAGCAATGGAAAGAGAGAGAATCTTCTTTACTGAACATGTGCATTTCCAGTAAGTTCATTTTTTTTGCTGAAAATGCAAACAATGATTTACAGTTTGGCAGGTTGTGTAGCATGTACATAGTAACTTTTTATATTTGCTGTAGGATCCTCTATAATGAAGGTTATGCCACTGTTCCTAAACTGGCGGAGAACCTCACCCTTGAGCTGGTGCATCACATCCAGGTGAATACTTTACCTGAATGATTCACTACAGATTATTTTGCCCACTTCAGATGTTAATGCTCTGATTCCCTGTGTGACTTGCAGAGATCTCTGCCACGACTGGGAGAGCAGATAGAAGAGAAACTAAAACAGACCCGAGAGGAGCTGGACAAATATGGCAGTGGACCCCCATCTGATGCAGTTGGGAGACTCGGTTACCTCATTGATGTGAGTTTACTAGACGGCACTTTCTACACTTAGGGTTACACAGAGAACACTGCTCCTCCTATCCAATAGTGCATCCATAGTGATTTGAGCTTCTCAAATAAGTCCTTGCATTAGGATGTATGTTAATTATCATTTGCCCTGTTCTTTTATCTTATATTTTAGAGGGTGACAGAGTTTACACAGGATGTCATCAACCTCACCAAAGGGGAAGAACTAAGAGCTACAGTCAGGTTCAATATATTTTCCAAACTCAGGAAAGAGTTTTCAGTATGGGAAGAGACCATAAACGCCTCTGAACTAACATGTAAGTGCATTGACAACTTGGTCATAACATCACTTTTGTAACCTAATATGTAAACTGTTTAGTAAGACAGTTTTTTTATTCCAATTTTCCTTTTTGCTGTAAAAAAAAAAGCAACCTATTTTACATTTTCAAATACAAAATGATGTATAACATTCATATTGCAGTCAACTGGAATATTGAAAGAGAGGTGGCTCAGTATGAACGAATGTACCGTGGAAGAGAACTGCCTGGTTTCATCAACTACAAGACCTTTGAGGACATGGTCAAGGAGCAGATCAAAAAGCTGGAAGAACCAGCCGTCAGGAAACTGAACGAAGTGGCAGGTATGTCTTATCATGGTGCTACAATGATTGCAGGCAATTTAAATATGTAATACCTACCAGATATTGTATTGTTGGACTTATTGTACAATAATTGTACTCATTGATTTGTATGTTTTTTTTAAAGAAATTGTGAAGAGAGAGCTCATTAGATTGGCAGAGAGCAGCTTGGTTGGATTTCCTAACCTCATCAAGACAGCTAAGGTATCCTCTTCATTATCAGTTGCTACTGCATACGCATGACTTCATACTGTTGGAGGTTTTCTGACACATTTTGTATGTCCTTCAGATGAAGATTGAATCCATAAGGAGGGAGAAGGAAGCTGCAGCAGAGGCCATGCTGAGGACTCAGTTTAAGATGGAGATGATCGTTTACACGCAGGACTGCAGATACAGCAAGAAGTTAGGGAAGCGGAAGAGGGAAGAGGAACAGAATGTTGTGTCGTTCATAAATGGAACAACAGCGAAGAAAAGCCCTATGAGCATTAGTCAGAGTGGGGCCACACTGAAAGAGATGACGAAACACCTTAAATCCTATTACCAAGTAAGTGTCATTTACAGGCTGCACATTTTATTTTTGAGGTGCGCAGCATTTAATACAGACACAAACATATAAAAGCAGTTATTTTATTGTTGTACATGAACAGTGACAATGATCTTGAACAGCATAAAGTGACAATGAATTCATGAAGAACAGTTGTTATGTTGAAGTGCTACCCAAAAACACCAAAATCAAGAGCACTGTCGTTCTCCCCTCCAAACCACAGATTGCGGGCCAGCGTCTGGCTGACCAGATCCCACTGGTGATCCGCTACCAGCTGCTGCAGGAGTCAGCAGTCCAGCTGCAGAGGGAGATGCTGCAGATGCTTCAGGACAAGAAGAAAACCGAGTCCCTGCTTCAAGAGGACTCCAGCATTAAAACCCAGAGAAAAAACCTCAAGAAGCGCCTCGAGCGCCTGACAAAGGCACGCATTTTGTTGACTGAGTTCAGTATGAACATATATAACTTCAGCACAACACAACCGTAGGGCAACCCTTAAAAACAGAGGGGAGGTTGCAAAGTTGTTATAATTATGATCTATTACATTTCTTTATTTCTTTTCTTTGGAAATATTTATGTTTTTGACATATTATATATACATATTATATAATTACATTTTCAGTCTATTTTTATCATCATGGTCATGTTTCATAAATAATTCCACACTTTCAGAATGACATGCCATATATACAGTATATTGTGTGTGTTTTTTAATGTTTTGCTATAACATGAAATGCTTTGTGGTTTTAAAGGGGAGGTGGGGGGTTCCATTATTTCTTGTTGTGTGGTTGGTGTGAAAGCAACTTAGCTAATAAACATGAGCTTATGGTGGTTGACATTTATTTATTTGTTCATCAAATGGGACCATACAGACATTGTTGCATACAGATAAGTAGTGCAACAGATGAAAGTTAAATAGATGTACTTGTTCAGGGGTGTCAAACTCAATCAGAGGGGGCCAAAATTAAGAACTGTGTCAAGAGCCAGACAGGGTCAATATTTATTGAAAAACAGACTTAGATTGACCATGTTTTTCATGTATTAGGACAAGATGTATTATGTGAACAAGGTCTGCTGTGACACCAGACTTCTTTTTAACTCTTCTACCTTCTGGAGCCTAGTCCGGTTAACCTTTAATGTTAGTGAACAGATACTCTGCCTCCCACCTGTCTTGAAAGCCTCTGTTTTCAGAATTTACCTTTCGTTTGGCCATTTCTTTTGGGGTCTAGCTTAAATCTGACTCAAAGTGACTGGATGAGCGTGGGATCATGAGTATGTCAATGAAGGGATGAAGGGATGAAGGGATGAAGGGGGGGGGGGATTTCTTGAGCTACCACGCCTTAATTGATGTGGCAATGCACCAGCTATTGCAATGGGATCTGGGATTTGTAGATGTGTGTGTGAATGCTGTATACTGGCGGGGCACTTCTGATGAACACAAGGTATTATCTCGCGGGCCACATCTTTGAGTTTGACATGTATGTTCTAGTTGAAGCTAGTTTGCAGCCCCCATCCCTGGTCAGGTTTTTAAATTGAGGGAAAAACATCCAAACAAACACAATCAGCATAAAGACAACAGGACAAATAAATCCAACAGTGTGCATGTGTATATGTATGTGTCAATCTATTTGGTATGGACAACAATAATACAATGACTTGTTTCTATCGGAATCGAGGCAAAAATTTACTTAAAAAGAAAAAAGTGATGAACCCGGCTGTGACGCACTTGTTATTCAGTGCTTTTATCTTCAAAAGTCACAATTGGGCATTGAACAACAAATCCCAGCCAGGTTCATCACTTTCATCACACCTGATTGTTTTGTTTCACATTAACAGCAGCAAGAGCCAGGAAAGCTAAAGAAACGAAACCTAAACCATCACAACCTAAGTTTCAATTTCTCCAAGCGACCGCATGCTGCTCCATCATTGAAATACCGGCATCATTCATCCTCAGGGTTAGATGCGACCAGCTGAAATAACAGCCTAGTCACGGACAGAACTTCATCTCAGAAGACTTTATTCTTGTTTTAAACACTTTTTCTTAACAGGAGAGAAGAAGTCTTCACCATGAACACTCTGAACCAACAGTATGAGGAGAAGGTTCGTCCCTGCATTGACCTCATCGACTCTCTGCGCTCTCTGGGCGTAGAGAGGGACTTGGCTCTACCTGCTATCGCCGTAATAGGAGACCAAAGTTCCGGGAAGAGCTCTGTGTTGGAGGCGCTGTCAGGGGTGGCTCTGCCGAGAGGAAGTGGTAGGTTATATTCACTGAAAACAACACAAGTATTTGCTTTTCTGCCAGTGGCACAGAATGAATTGTGTTTTAATTTGTTTAAATTTTGTAACCCGAAATTATTTTTGCGCTGTACGCATAATCACATAGTTTCGTGGGCATATGTTGTTACAGGCTATTCTTCCAACAAAATTAATTAATTAAAAAAATTATTTAATTTTCTGATCAAATTTAGCTAATTCCCATCTGCTTGGATTTAAGGCCCCTCCCTAACTGTGAAACAACATACAAGACTACTGACGCGATTGCTAAAGATAAATGGAAAAACAAATCTTCTGAGTTTTATGTTATCTTCCATATGGATGGAATCTAAAAAACCTGTATAACCGGTTAAACAGGTTGTTCCTGTGTAGATGATCGGTGATCCTGAGAGCTCAACGAACTGCACCTTAAGAGAACAAATGCAAATACATAAACACGCTGCAGATTCAGTAAACAGCTTCATCAATTGGACAACACATGCAAATACCTTTTTATGTACAGTCTATGGCAAATACACAAACCCGCTGTAAATTAAAAAAACAAACAAAACTACAATACAATGGAAGTGTTTCCAGGGGACACTAAAAAGTGTTGAACCTGGCTGGGATTTGTTGTTCAATGCCCAATTGTGACTTTTGAAGATAAAAGCACTGGATAACAAGTGCATCACAGCCGGGTTCATTACTTTTTTCTTTTTAAGTTATTTTTTGCCTTGATTCCGATAGAAAGAGTGCTTTCAACGTAAAAAAGTAACAATTGGTCATTGAACAACAAATCAAAGCCAGGTTCAACACTTTTTAGTGTCCCCTGGAAACACTTCCGTTGTGTTGTAGGACTGAATTTACAGAGCGTTTGTGTATTTGCACGTGTTGCGAGTTTTTGCAGCGCGTTTGTGTTGTCAAATTGATGAAGATGTTTTCTGAATTAGCAGCGGGTTTATATCTGTGCATGTGTTTTCTTAAGTTGCAGTGCCTTGAGCTCTCAGCGCCACCACGAGGTCACCATGACAACTTTCACACTACAACAAAACCTTCCAAGAAACAGGAAGGCCTCAAAGAGACAATAAGCATAACTTTACCAAGTCCAGTGTAGTGCTGTGATGGTTAGTAATGGCTTTGTGCAAAATATCAGGCTCTATACCTCAGACATTTAGAAGGGGGACATGCAGTATAGAGCCACACATATATTGGAAACATATTGGCATATTGGTGTTAGACTTGTCTTGCCTAATATTATATTGCTAAGATTTAATATTGATCCCACTTTTATCAAGACAATTACTATGTTTTCTGAGATAACCTGCTACTTTTAATAATTTCACCAGCCACAGAGGATTTCACTTTGAAATTGTCCGCCTCTCTCGTCATTCACTCATCATTAATTCAGGCATTGTGACAAGATGTCCTCTTGAACTGAAGATGAAGAGAAAGAAAGAAGGAGAGGAGTGGTACGGAAAGATAAGCTACCAGGAGCAAGAGGAAGAGATAGATGACCCTGCAGATGTGGAGAAAAAGATTCGAGAAGGTACAGTATACAGTGTTCTTAACTGTCACCAACAAAAGCCAAGCACTGGAGGAGCAAATGAAGGTTCAAGGTTTCACCTTTACCTTCATATACTGTATCACATTCTCCCTCTCCAGCTCAGGATGAAATGGCTGGGGTCGGTGTGGGGATCAGTGATGACCTGATCAGTCTGGAGATCGCCTCTCCTGATGTTCCAGACCTGACACTCATTGACCTTCCCGGCATCGCCAGGGTGGCTGTAAAGGGACAACCAGAGAACATTGGTGATCAGGTATGCTGCTTCAATGTCACCAAAACAAGCAGGTGACACTTTTCATAGGGACAAATTCTCTGATAGAAAGTTGTTCCAAGGAAAAGTGTAGACAGTGGAGTTGACTGCGGATTATCCAGATTAACCAGGATAGAAATCTACAAAAACCTTGGCCCTTGTTTCCCATCCCTACACAACATCACATTACTTCTCATATTGACCTTCATTCATTATGTGATTTTAACAGACTTAAGGACAATGGTGATTTGATAGTTGTACAACTCATAGCATGATACACAATATGTTTCTCTTAATCCTTTCAGATAAAGAGACTGATCCAGAAGTTCATCACAAAACAAGAGACCATCAGTCTGGTGGTTGTTCCATGCAACGTGGACATAGCAACCACAGAGGCTTTGCAGATGGCACAGCGGGTGGATCCTGATGGAGAGAGGACTTTGGGTAAATAGATTTAATTTTAGAAAGAGGTCCAACCAGCTCTTAGCTTGCTGTTGTTATGAGTGCTTCCCTCTTTCTCTCTCACTCTCACTGTCTCTCTTTCTCTCTCTCTCAGGTATCTTGACCAAGCCTGATCTGGTGGACAAAGGCACAGAAGAGACAGTGGTTGACATTGTCCATAATGAGGTCATTCACCTGAAGAAGGGCTACATGATTGTGAAGTGCAGGGGTCAGAAGGAGATCACAGAGAAGGTGTCTCTGACTGAAGCAATGGAAAGAGAGAAAGCCTTCTTTGCAGATCATGTGTATTTCCAGTAAGTTCATTCTTTTGGGTAATTGTACAAAATATGTGGTAAAGTGTTTGACAGCTTGTGTAGCACGTACTCAGATGCTCTTTATTCTTGCCGTAGCACTCTCTACAATGACGGCCAGGCCACTGTTCCTAAACTGGCTGAGAAACTGACGCTTGAGCTGGTGCATCACATTGAGGTGAGTTCTTTTTTAAATTATTGCTTCACCTTAACAATTTATCATAAAAAAATATGATCAGTCAACTTAGGTATCAAAGGTTTGACTCCTGCTGTGTGTCTTTCAGAAATCTCTGCCTCGACTGGAAGAGCAGATTGAGGAGAAACTCGCACAGACTCAGGCAGAGCTGGAGAGATATGGCACTGGGCCCCCGTCTGATGCAGCTGAGAGACTCATCTTTCTCATTGATGTGAGCTCCTTCACCACATAGTTTTTACCTGGCAACAAAGACAAATGCTCACCACCAATATGAATTTGTTCATCTTTAAATGTTTGTTAGATAAACAATAAACCACTTGTAAACAGCTGTTTCTGCTCTCACATGTGTGTTCCAGAAAGTGACAGCATTCACTCAGGATGCCATCAGTCTGTCTACAGGAGAGGAACTCAAGTGTGGAGACAAACTCAATGTCTTTTCTACGCTCAGAAGAGAGTTTGGGAAGTGGATCAACCACCTTGACCGCTCAGGAGAAAACTGTGAGTCTTTCATTTTGGTCTGATGTACAGCTGTCCATCAGCAGGACTCTGAAATACATGTTTGTGTGTCACAGTCAACAACAGAATTGAGAGAGAGGTGGAGGACTATGAAGACAGGTACCGTGGAAGAGAACTGCCGGGCTTCATCAACTACAAGACCTTTGAGGTCATGGTCAAGGAGCAGATCAAACAGCTGGAAGAACCAGCCGTCAAGAAACTCAAGGATATTGCAGGTAGATGATTGAATATATGACAGATTTACTGTGATTTTCTGAAAGGCCCAGTGTAAATCCAGATGCTGCATTTTGTTGCATTTCCATTTCCTCCAGATGCTGTTAGGAAAGTGTTCATTCAGCTTGCCCTCAGTAGCTTCACGGGATTTCCTAACCTCATGAAAACAGCGAAGGTCTTCTATAAGTTTGATGTTGACATTCTAATATTTGATTGATGCAGTCAATATGTTCAGACTGACCAAAATCTAATTTTCCAGGCTAAGATCGAAGTAATAAAGCAAGAAAAAGAGTCCACTGCTGAAACCACACTGAGAACTCAGTTCAAGATGGAGATGATCGTTTACTCCCAGGACAGAACCTACAGCAGCAGTTTGAGTGACAGAAAGAAAGAGGAGAATGAGGAGCAATCGGACGATGAAAGGAGTATTGTGTACAGCATGGATAATCATGCAACACTTCAGGAGCTGATGTTGCACCTTAAATCATATTACACTGTAAGTTTTAATTTAGTGCAAAGATTCATGAACAAAAACAATGACAGCAAAGTTTAGACAGAGGGTTGTTTTTTTTTTGTTTTTTTCAATAACTGCTCGTTTCTGTAAAACTTTTTTCTCTCTCCTCCTTCAGATTGCCAGCCAGCGTCTGGCTGACCAGATCCCGCTGGTGATCCGCTACCAGATGTTGCAGGAGTCTGCCGTCCAGCTGCAGAGGGAGATGCTGCAGATGCTTCAGGATAAGGAGAATGTGGAGTTCTTGCTGAAGGAGGACCTGGACATTGGCAACAAAAGGGCTGCCTTGCAGAATCGCCTCAAACGTCTCACAAAGGCCCGCGCATATCTGGTAGAGTTCTAGGAGGCCAAGACCTAAAAGCGTGGTTCTGCTGTACTGCTTTCATTTGTCAACTACAGTACAATTGTGGTTGTATAATGTATACTAAATTGACCTTCATGTAAGACAGGCTGAGGCCAGTTTCTATAAATAGAATAGATATACATTTTTACTATCTTCTACCTTTGGACTCCTGATGGATGTAGACTTCAAACTTACTCATGACTACACACATACAATAGTGTATCTTAGCTCCCCCTTGTGGTTATACAAAAGAAAACGTAATAATGAAGTCCCATCTTGATGGCAAGACTCTGTAGTTTTATGTAATCCTGTAATAATTATAGCAACCTATTACAGATATTCTGAGCAAGTTCAAATCCATAACCTCTCTTACTCCATGTCATCAATAAGTAAATGTGGTCTTCCAACTTCAGCAATGAAGGGTCTGCATCAGATATGAATACAAAGTTGATTTAGGTCCGACTTCCTGCCCAGTAACTATCAACCAATAGTAGTTTGATAAAACATATACTTTTTCTGATAACCAATGCATCAATGCATTTCTCTTTACCAATAATTTGTGTCCCTGTATTGTATCAGTCTGATGTCCTATATCTTTGTTGAACTTACAATACATCATTAAATCACTGTCAGCCTGGAAACCATTGTTAATTACTCTAAATAAAACAGTGAGGTAAAAAATGTGTAAAGATATACATCTAAATATTCACCATTTCGATAAATAAACTGAACAAGACGGACAGGAACAAGCCAACTTTATTCAAAAATACATACAAAAAGCATTCTTAGACAAAAACAAATCATTTAAAAGCGGTCAATTTAATTTCTTCTAGTCAGGATCTCTATGTTTTCATTCACCATTCTCTGCAGGGCTCTCCTGATTGTTGTCGTCATTGTCTGATTTTTCGTCATCTATTAAAGATGAAAATGATTAGCAAGGCAGATGCTACATTTCCTGGTTTGCTGTACAGCGCAACAGTTACTGAGAATAATGAAACTGACAGAGATATCAAAAAGCACAAACAATGCAAACATGGTAACCAAAAAAGGTCCTAGTTTACTCACTCTCAAGGGTCTGCTGTAGTTCCTGAATGGTACTGAGGAGCACATGGAACTGCTTCTTCCTCAACTCCAACTGAGTGGGACAAAAAGGAGTTTGAAACAATCAAAATAAAATACTACTAATGACTGAAGACAGTGTGGGTTAGAATAGAAGAGAGGATAAATGTATTTGGTTTTACCTTTGCATCCACATTCTCTTTGATGTGAGACAGTTGCTGGAGTTCTTTGTCAAGTGCCTCCAACTGTCTGTAAATTATCAAAGTAAAATTAAGCACATAATCTTATTATCATGCAAGGCAAAACTACTTCATACATATTTGAAACAGATGACATGGGCTGACTTACTTGAGTGTTTCATGCCGGTCTGGGTGTTGCTGAATAACCTTAGCTAAAGCGTCATACTCTGAAAAGAAAGAAAGGAAGATAATTTTGACAACCCACATTGCCGCTAAGTTCTCTAAAATGAGAGATGACTTGTGTGTGAAAAAAAAGTTAAATAGAAGCTGCTTTGCAATTTTTACTTTTTGATAACTCACAAATATATGGCCTGAATACAATTTCTCCAATTCCATTTTGAAATACCAGAAACTTGTTCTTAACCCATAACTGCTATTACTGCCAATTGCAAATGACTAATTGTGAGCTTTGTTTCATAAATTACAATAAAAATTAAGTATACAAAATGTAATTCAAACCAATGTTTAACTATCCTCCTTTTGTTTTCTAATATTAAACTGTAATATTACCTCCATATTGTGGGGTCCAATAAGATCGTAAGTATAGAAGCAAATCTTACAATAATTGACCAAACCACTCTAGAGTCCTAAAAATGTTCTTACCTTGGCGATTTTTTCGGATTCTCTTTGCTCTCTGAATTTCCTTTTTGCATTCTGCTATCTTCTCATGTGCTGACGTGATGTTTTGTTCTGTGGTGTGGACAGAAAGTTGGTAATGAAGTATTTTTGTAACACATTTGAAACAAACACACAGCTCTTCTCGTTACTACATAGAAAGTATGAAATGCAAGAGCGTGACCATTTAGGTTACATGCATTAATGTTCTGACAATGAGTTGTCAACAGCTTATATACAAAAGGGGGTTGGGGTTCTGACAAAAATCCCGGTCAGTGTTAGAAAATCTCCATTACCTACCTATGTTAGTGTAAATTTTCTCATAATTCTCCATTTCCCGAAGATTCATGTCATAAACCATCAACGTCTTCCCCATGGAGAACTCGCACTGGGCCAGTGTGCTCAACATCCTCTGATACTGCGTAAAGCTGAACAGAATTACAGGATGGGGGGTGACTTAAAGGGAACCAGTTCTTCAACACAACTTTATAGAAATCTTTGGCGACAAAGTCGAAGACTAAGGTCCCGAGGTCTGTAGAGCCCACTTACCCTTCCTCTGGGGTTCCAGGCGCGTTGCACCATTTAGTGAAACTCTTTAGCAGCACATTGATTCGGCGGTCATCGCCAGCTCCGTCCCCGTCGATAAGAAGACGTTTACGAATAACTTCATCTAGGATAAGACCGAAAGACAAAATGAAGCAGCCCTTCAGACACAGCAGATAAATTAAAAAGCTAACTGTTAGCTAGCTAACATGGTTGCTGTTATTGTATTAGCTGTTTTGAACGCATGGTACTACTTCTTTGTGTAAAATGGGTTTGATTTTGCCAGCATAAATGTGTACACAGGGATACTTTAAAAACTCCGGCACACATTTTTTTGTCGTAGCTTTCAATAGAGAGTTGAAATCGATGAATTAAACTGTAGCCTACCATCCGTAACAGCTCCCATGTCTGTATCCAGTCAAATAAACTTTATTGAACAACAGGAAGTGAACAAAGCAAGTAGCTCGGTGGTGATTGGCCAAAGTTTTTTTCTTTTTTAAGCTTTATTCAAGGAAGAATTTACAGTTAAACTTGGGTAATACAAATACAACTGAATGAATTACGCAATAAAAGACATAAGACAAGAAACATACATTATTTCATATATTTCATACAAGGAATAGACGGAATCATTTAATATAGGCACTCATCAAAAGCATCTGCGACATGCAATAATGAAATTTCTGGTCTTTTTTAACATCTCAAAGGGGCCGAATGTACAATTCAAAGTCATTATTGGTTATCATCATCATTACTTATTAGAACCACTGATGACATGGTAACAGCAGTCTCAGAATATTTAAAGTTGAAGTCATGAAGTTGTGAATGTAAAATTTTTATTATTTGTTTGTATATTGTTTAAGGTGTTCTTGGAGCTGTTTTACCACTTTCCACTGTTAGTTTTCTTCTTTTTTTTTTCAGTTGCGAGCAGCTCTCAAATTGTAGGAGGATAATCAATCTTATTGTCAAATAATGCATTTGTCAAATAGTCTATGAAAAATCACCCTTGTAGTTCATATCAGTGTCATCTTTCAAATCCCACCTTTTATGTATTATTTTATGTTACACCTCCTTGTTTGTCATACAGTGTTCATTACAAATAGTCCAAGTTATGTCACTGTATTTAACTGAAGGTAACAATCCAGAAATATTTTGATTATGGAGAAGCGTGTGCGTGAGTGTGCGTGCGTACTGACGCCGTGACGTCTCTGTCCCAGAATGCAGTCTGGTAAACAGACATGGAAGCACCAGGTGAAGACCTCCACAGCGGCTGAGCACTGCACTCGGTCTTTCCCACCGTCTTCTGTCTCTTTCGCCCAGTGCATCCAGCTGATATATATCTGCCTGGTGTCACGTTTACGTCTACAGCATCCAGAGCCTTGGTAAGAATGAAGTTGTTGTCGGTCCGTGACGACTGCTAATGACTTCTACTGTGCTGTCAGGCTTCTGCCAGCTTCCTCGCTAACGCTAGTCATGGCTGGCTACAGGCTTCAGCTAGCAGGCTAATGTAGCCGCCACTGGTCTCTAGTAACGTTTGTACCAGTCACAGACCCATACTGCTTTCATGACACATGTCCTGATAGACATGTCTTTTTTTACACATCGCATTTACAATATGAAAACATTGTCTTTTCTGTTCTTGAAAAAAATGTTAATGTACGTTAGTATGGTCAGTGTGCAGCAGAGGTGGGATCAACGGTAGCCAATAAAACTGCTGGCTCCTGTTGGTCGCTGCTAGTGACTGTTAGCTAGCTAACTGAGTTCTCCTGTTAAGGTGTGCGCCTACTAGTTGTCAATGACAAATACTCAGTTTTTGAACAAATTTCATAATGTCATCTCTTGCCAGTCGTGGCTTTTGACGTACCGTCTTCGTAGAGCCCAAATCACAACTGAGTTGAGGCTAAACTGAATTATTATTATTATTATTGTTATTATTAATTATTAATGACATGTTTATATTGCAAGATAGCAGGCTATACACACTGTGTGCAGTATATCCACTCTGATGCCAGCGTTATAGGCAGAATCTGTAAGTGCTGGGTGACAATTAAATATGACATTATTGTCATAAATGTTCTGTTATGGTTTCACTAAATGCTGTTTTACAAATTACTTTTGAAGTGGTTTTTCATTAGAACCAACAGTAGGACTTTAGAAGTTCTTGCCAAGCAAACTATATGTATGGAGTTTTGTTTGATATGAGCACCAACCAGCAGATAACAGTTCATTGCATTGAACATCAGTTGATTATTTTCAATTGAGTGATTTTAGCATACATTTGCCATATCATGATGTATATTGATAATGACAAAGTGTCCGTATCTGTTTATATTAATATTGTGACATTTATTTTCAACCATACCACCACTACATGGTAAATGGAGAGGATATGCAGGGCAGAACCCAGCCATTGTCTTTATTTGTAGTTGGAATGGTGGGATAACCACTATTCAACAGCAATCCTAAAAACACTCTATAGGTTACATTTATCGTGGCTATAAATGATCAAAACCTAATCAACAAATGGCTTTTAAGTCAAAGTTCTGAATTTTGGCTTAAAGGGTGTTTGATAAATTTTAAGACAGTACTGATTGCACTGTACATTTGATAGTTGTTAGTAGTTAATTCAGCCAGTATGGTTTTTTTAGTTACACCTGTGTTTGACAACATAAAATGTCTGCCATAACAGAGGTGTGTTGGTTATCCTTTGGCTACATACTCAATTCAGGGAGAGCTATGAATGAACAGGACTTTTGAGCAGACGTTTGTGGGTTGGGACACACTGGCTTTACCAGTGTAAAAGACTAGACAGTAGACTAGTTGTGCTGCCTGGTAGACTTTGACCAGGCTGCACAACTACTTTAAAGACATTTTTACTGTTTGTGGAATCTGTCAATGCACATTTCATTGGGATATATAATAATTACAACCAATTCATAACAATTAAAGAAAAAGTTGAGAGCTCTGTTTTTTTTTTTTTTTTAAACATAATTACCCACTGATCTTAAGCTACATTGACCTATACATCTTTAAGGATGCCAGCCCAAAGTCTAAGGCAAGGTAGAGTGCTATAGAGTTGCAGTTTTCGTTGCAGTTTTCATTTGGCAATAAATGTTACTGTTGTACTCCCCCACCACCACCACCAAGTAAGGTTTTTTATTTTTGCAAGGGCACATAAAGAATTTCAGAGGCGCAATGAAGATTTATCAAATAAGGGTTTTTTTCTCAATAAAGGGATACAAGGAGACATTAACAAGCCAAATTATTTAATTTATTTGAATACAAAAATTACATTTGAACTTCCTTTTTTCTTTCTAGTTATGTAATAATTATGTAGTAATAATAATAATTATGTAATTATGACAGTCATCATGGTGCACTGAACAAATACTGAAGGTCATGGTTCAAAAATATAGTCTATAAACTTAAATTATAACAGTCTTTTTCTCTTATTTCTGCTCTCTTCCTCTTGCGGGACGCATAGACATCTGTCTTGAAAATAAAAATGACTTTAGTGTCATTTCAAAAGCATCACACATATCCCAACAACAGAACTGACTTACAGAGGAAAAACTTAATGACAGCACCTGCTGTTGGGAAATGATATTTGCCGGTGGAACACCAGGGCATACCACAGGGAGATCAACATATGCTGAGGGGACAGGCATAATATGCACCACCACTAGTGGCACACCATCAGCCACCATTCAGTCTCTGTGCTGCTGTCCTGTGTCCTTCGCTTCAAATTGAAATCCCTCTGAAAAGTTGTGTAATTGCAACTTCACATTTCATAAGATTTGGTCCTGGGCTTTAATGGGCTACAGCAAAAGCTTTTGGCAAACAACTTTTGAAGTATTATTCAAACTTAACCAAAACTAAAGCAAGTTGTTGCAACTCTCACACAACAGTTATCACTGTATGGCTTTGTGTTTTGCTCAGTCAAGCCACTGGCTACCTCTGTGCATATGTTACAGTATGTTTTGCATCAGTTAGGACAAGAAATGATAAAAGGGTATGGTTTCAGTTTTTAAATGGGATTACTGTGGGGCTGGAGAGGTGGTTAGGGATGTGCTTAATGGCTTGGATTACTGCACAGTGGTGAAGAACTCCATGACCAGGCCCAGGGAGGACAATGTTACCTTCCAGACATAGTCTTCTAATCCCCTATTCACTGATTAACGCAATCAAGAAACAGCAAAACAAAGAATCTGATACTGACTTGTCTTCCCTCAATGCTTGTCTGTGTGTGTGTGTGTTTGGATGTGTGTATGTGTTGCTTGTGTGTGTCTCCAGACTTCCCCAAGTGTGTGTGGCAGCCAGGGATCACCCAAACTGATGAGGATCGGCTGATTGAGTTAAAAATAAGTTCCTTTTTTCTTATTTTGTTAAGGTAAGATCTCACAACTATTCAGTATGACACTCCATTGACAATTAGTGTTATCTAATACGATATAATACAATAATCATGAGTGGTTATTTAGTGCTTACAGATGTTTACAATTGTCACCTACTTAGAAACATAGTGGAATTCAGTATAGCAATTGTTTTTCAATTATTGCACAACTCTGTAATTTCCCTTATAGCCCTTTTCCACTGCATGGTACCGGCTCAACTCGACTCTACTCGCCTTTTTTGGTTTTCCATCTGGCAAAAGTTACAAATAGTACCTGGTATTTTTCTTTTTGGTATTGCCTCCTCTGAGGTTCCAAGTGAGCTGAGGCGATAATAAAAGTTGATGTGAAAACACTGCTGACTACTGATTGGTTAGAGAGAATCGTCATTACTGCATCATCATTGTGCGAGGCGGGATGCTGTGTTGGTACCATGTGATGGAAAACCGCTGTGCTCGAGGAATGGTAGCAAGTATCTAGTGAAAGAAAAAAAATCCACTTTCTTTACTCTTCAAATTAAGTTGAGTTTGATTTATTTCTTTCCTTATTAATATTTATAAACAGTAAATACACATAAAAATAAAACATAACAATATTGCCTGAAAACGTGTAGGGTGAAGTTATAGCTTGTTACACCCTATTATACCTATCGCTTCCATAACTTCCTAACGCAGTGTAATCCAGTACAGCAGTCTTGAGGTAAATACTATATATATATATATATATATATAGCTGCTTTCTGAGGCTACAGCACCAGTGTGTGGCATATTTAGGATATACTTTGTGTTAATGCTGTATTAGGATGTGTATATTGAAGGTGAGGTGTTTGTTTTATAGGATGGATTTATTAGATTTTGTACAAACACCTTTCAGTGAAATGTAATTCAATACAACACCACCACCTCAGCAAATATGTGGCACTACAAGTTTCAGAAAAGCAGTAAATATAAGACCTTTTGTTTCAGACTACCTAACCGCAGACTGCAGGGGTCTTTTTTTCTACGACACTTCTGGTCTCATCCCAGAACAAAACACACTGCTGCTGATTGTAGATTAACTTATATTGAGGCATTAATATGTCACAAATTAAAAGGTTAATCAGTGAAGGTGATGAAGTGATAATAGAAAAAAAGGCCAGAAAAAAATGTTCTTCACAGGTTCTTGTAATTTGTGGTGGTTGGTAAATGGGTAAGTTATACATTTCAGTGAAAAAAAAACATTTGTTGTGCATGTCTCTTGGACAAAACACTGTTAATGTTTTGTGCCATTGTGGGAAATATTTGTGCTAGTCCAGATAATTGATCATTTGATAGGTTGCACTGTAGTGTATTTCATTGATATCATTAAGAAGATCTATTTCAAATCCATGTAGAATATTAAGTCTTGACCAATTTTTTGCAGAACATAAGACAGACTTTATTTGTCTGGTATTTTTCAAAAGAAAATAACAAGGCGCTAAAAATCCATACATGTTTTCACCCTCAAACTACAGCCAGAGCTTCTAGCATCATCTAGCATTGTGCTTGTTTTGTCTGTATCTATAGGTATACTTATAAATATTAAAGTAGTAGTAAAGTTAGTATTCTGGCCAGGTTCTACCCTGGGTGTCCGTCTTAAATTACAAGCCTCAAGCCAACTTGAGAGAAATGAAATGAATGATGTCAAAGACACTAAGTCTACAACACTACGGTTTGACCATTTTAACAGTTCCTGCATTAGCTAGTCTTCATTATTACGGCGGCATTCTGGAAACTCAACATCCTCATAGTATGAACCTATGCAGATTTTCAAAGTTGTTTTTTTTTACTTATCATACAGTTTGATACAACAGATCAGTTTGTGACAAAGGTGTATACATATGCAGTAAATAAAGACAAAAAAAAACATAACTTTTTATTGACCATGAGTCACTGGCAACCTCTTCAGGATTCGCTCCTTAATTTATATTTTAGAATGTAGTGTGGGTCTAAAGACAAAGTCAAGTTTCTGAACTGTACACTTGAAACTAACAACAGAGGGCTGAGATAATTTTTGGTCAAGGCTCCTCAGAGTACATGCCAAATGGGAGTACAGTCAACTTTTCTGACATATTAGGAGGAGTTTTTGTCAAACAAACATGATTGTGTCGAAAGAATTTCAAATAAACTGAGATCAGACTCAGATTAAAATCAACACTACATCATTCATATAAAATAGGAAGGACAGTACTTGATAAAGACTAGAAATGCTTATGCTTTTTGTAAATCGTGAGTCTGTTAATTTGCCAATCAGCAATCTCTACACTAAATGTTCTCTTCTTCCAATTCTTTTTTTCTTGCATGCCAGTTTTTGTAAGTTGAATATTTGCAGCATTCGGGTAGATCACAAACGTGTCATTTTGAAAGTGAAAGTAAAGAAAACCTGGCTGAGAATAACTGTCTTTACATGTTTGAAAAGTTTAGGAACAACAGTTCAAACTGTTCACATAAGTCATAAATCTCATTAAGTGTTACATTATTGTTTCGTAGACATTCTGTTTAACAGTAACAATAGCTATATAACTAGTCTGTTTTTATTTAAATTGCAACTTATCTTTATGTTCACTTGTGTTCTGTATGAGGACTCGCATCAATGTTAACACCCTAAAAATGCATCGACAAAGCATATAATATGTCAAGATCTACTCTGACACTAATAGTTGGTTCTACATATTGATGAGTAAATCAGTATAACATTTTGCTATTCATGTTCATTCTACAGTAAGTTGGTTAATATCTGCCTAAGAAATACAGTATCTTCTAGGACTCAATATATGACAGAATTCTTTTTCTGTATAGCCGTTATTGTAACATCATGCAAAAATGTGAGTTTTGATGTGCCTTTTGTGGTGTTTTCTTGTAGCTGATATGTTTTAGATTTTAAATGCTTACTTTGTCTTAGCATGGAAAATAAGTGCTAGATTTTTGCATCATCACAAGATCTGTGTTATTCATAATATGCATAAGCGTGTTGCTGTAATCATGAATCACACCAACACAGTTGTTTAGTAAGTTTGTGATGTATACATTGAGGAAAATCTCAAAATCAAGTCTTTATTTATTGAACAAGACAGCGACAGAGACAGCAAATTTTTACAAATCAGCTGTTGATATTCCAAAATCCAAGCTTGATGCTGTTTGTAAGGACAGCTGACATAGTTAAATTGTACTATAGTTTATGTAAGGCTATATGCTGTATTATTATAATATAATACCATAATAACATTTTAATGTATTACGCATATTTTTTTTCCAAACTGTTAAATATTACACATTGCTGTGTAACTAGTGAATGAACCACAGCTTATGTGTGTATATGTACCTATGTCATATTTAATAAACAACGATTGACATTACATTGAATGCAATGTAAGAGACTAAAGTTAAAGCTAACTAGGCAGGGATCCAGAGACATTCAGATAAACTGCCAGTCAACCAATTTATTCGGTATATGTGAGGTAAATGTGATATGTTGTGTAAGCTTTGTACTTGTTGCTTGTCAAGTGGCCACACACTGTTTTTTGAGGGGCGGGTGCGGTGAAACAACACGCGTTTGCCCGTGTCAATCAGTGAAAAAGTCCTCCTATCCCGAGCGCGACCAACGCTGACTCTTGTGTTGTTACATTGTAGCGGAAAGAATGTCGGAAAGGGCCGAGGATGACGTCAGGGGGGAGCAGCGCCGAGCGGCCAGGCAGCAGCTGAAGCAGCAGCAGATCCAGCGGGGAGAAGGCTCCACAGCAATGGCGACTGTTGCGGAGCGGAGATCCTTACCTAGTCCAGAAATAATGCTGGGACAGCCTTGGAGCAACTGGGTCGACGCCGCCAAACTCCACGGCAACGACGGTGAGTTCCCCAGCGTCCCAAATGTGCGCGAGGAAGCGAGGTAGAGCGCGACAGTTGCCAGTCCCGACCTGTTTTTTGGCCGATTGCATGCAGTTTTTGGTGGAATATGAAGAAACGCTACTGGTAGCAACAGCACAGGCAGGCAAGCAAGTGCAACTATTTATTTGTCTGTGTGTCGGATTGCCTCATTTTCAGGTGCTGAATCGGAGGAAAGTTTCAAAGACTTCGGGAAAAATCGAGAAGCCATGCGTTTGTGCAGAGAAGGTGAGTGTTTTTTTCCGCCAGGGCCAAAGGTGTATTTTGGTTCGGCGGGTTTGCTCACATACACACACAGTATATGGATTCAAACACATGTGTCTGTTATTCGTGCGGTAACTGACATTTGCATCTGCTCCTAAAATAACTTAAAGGTTAACAACTTATACTCGCTGTAGGTGAGTATAGGCCCAAACATAGCAATAAAAATGTCATTTTCTGTTTGGAGAAAACATCTAATGGACTTAATTGTTCAGCATCCACATTTCTGCAATTTTACATGTGAAACCTTCCACCATATTTCATGTGTATCTCCTTATCTTAAGACATCACCAAGGTTGCCTGAAGAACTGTAAGATAGCAAAGGTTTTAAAAGTTAATCAGTAGAAACTTTTAGGATTTATACAAATTTCACTGTTAAAACAGCTTTTTTTTCAAAACAAGCCCCATCTTAGTCATAGTTCTTTTAAAATAATATGAAGCTGAAATATGGCCTGCTCCGATTCCACATGCTGCCTCAACGCAAAATATGTAATTTTAAAACTGTAACTGTAATTTTTTGTTACCATATATATAGATCAGTAGTGTAAGCAAACTGAACAACATACTGAAGTTAAGATGACTTTTTAATGTCTTGAAAGTACTCACCCACCAATGAACATGATACATAAATATCTAATTTATTCAGGTCAGACAAATCTAAACTCAGAAAGTCAACTATCACAGAGGATAAAAAAAATCAACTAGACTACTCTGATAACAGAGTGATAGGGTGATTATGTTCTTACAATTATCTATGATCTCAGGTTATTTCAGCATTTACCTCTAAAACAGAAACATACTGCAGCGTTCATGTTTATTTAATCTGTAATAGGCCATAACAGGGAAAGGTTCAGTCATGACATAAAGAGAAAGGACCTCATCTGACGAAGGTGATAAAACCCAGAATCTCAGAAGCGCACATCACCTGGCTTCTCAGCCACACAATGATGTTTGAGAGCACTTTGTGCTGGAATTTTATTTTTGGAAACACCTCGATTAGCGTTAGCTGATTTGTTCTACTGGCAGGCCTGGATTTAGAACGAGCTACACCAAAAAGTTACATCTGTTAATAACAATAAAATGGCATCCATTTTAATTACGAATCAACAATCATTTTCCAGGCAGACTGATATCAGAATGAGCCAGTTGACAGAACGAGTTGGATAATGACCTCTTCATTCAACTCAAATCAAATGAATGAATGATGAGTCAACTTTCTTATTACCCTGATAGTGATTGTATTTCATTTATAGAAAGGTTTCAATGCTTCCCTCATGTTATCCATGGTTCTAAGTAGTTAACTGGGCACACGTCTTAAAAGTGTGTGCCCACAAAAATGCTATGTTTATTTTATGCATTTTAGCAACACATCCACAGCTACGTTTAATCACTTTGCTGTGAGGACACAAAGACACCAGCATGGCACGTCAAATGTGACCTTGCTGTTATGGGACAGTCATTGCAACGATTAGGACATTAAGATTAAGATGCAGCCTTTTCTTTGAGCTTTAGATCACAACAAGCATGCAGTGAAAGTAATCTTAATCTCTGTTCTTTCATGTTCTGATATTCTATTTGTGTGTATAATTTGCCATAAAAAAATGGCAGCAATTAACTAAAAACCACAAAGATCTTCAGACACTCAAAACCATCATTATGTCTGCAGCTAACAACAAAGTGATCACTGTGGAGTGCGTAATTGTCACAGAATTTGACAGGTTTCTGAATTAGGTGACTCTTAATGTACAACACCTATGACACGCATTTGGAGGAGCATGTGTTGGAATGACATGTTCTCTAACAATGTCCTTGCAGAACAGTGTGTCACACTATGTCATCAGTGTGTGTACAGCTTTCTTTCTCTCTCTCACTCTCTCTCTCTCTCCGCGTGTTGCTCGAAAGGAAAAGGTTAATTGCAAGTTACTTGTCAGGGCACTCTTCTGATGTTGCATTTGCATTGGTCAACAATGTGGCCAGTGTGCTGCTCTTAGACCACAACACAATTTCAGCAGCAAATATCCATTAGCATATCATACTTTTGGGGTGACATTTATCAGACTGCATACATTTTTTAGTTTTTGACTGTTATAAGAGATGTCTGAAGAAATGTTATTTGAAAGTGAATGAAATTGGTGTATCAAAGCTGTCATTTAAAATTCAGGGCTGTTATGCCACTTGCCATGCAACTGTCATGAAACATGTCTCTATCATGCAGTAACATCTATCAGTGACTGTTGTTGTTGTCATGGGGCTGATCAACACATGCTGCCTGTGGCAGAAGTGTGTGTGCATAGAATGTAATTCTGTGTGTGTGTGTCTAGTGGGGGTATTACAAGTGGATGACTACACCTCTCCACCATGACTCACCACCAGATTCCTCCTGTGGTGTAACCACCATTCTAACACACACAGACGATTAACACACACACATTAAAAAAAGGATTGGCAAATTATGACAGAATTTGCTCATCATCTGTCTTGCTTTTTATAGATTTTACAGTTGCCCCGTTACAGTAAGGGAAGCTTGGAAATGTAGTGCTGGTGACAGTGTCACAGGTCAGATTCTGCCAGCGTGTGTGCTGCTCAGAGGCAGCCAGAGCTGCTACTATTCCACCTACATCATTCATCACTGCCATGGATGAGGATACCGAAATTAACTGGACTCTCGTTCTCTTCCTCTGTCTCGTGCTCACATGCTCTCTTTCTCCTCCTCGAGCGCAGGTCCTCCGCTCACTCCCTCTTTGTCTCGCTAAGGCCTCGGCCTGCTTCTCTGTTCTGTGTTTTTTCTCCGTTGTGCTCGTTTCTTGGCTCTGCACCATTGTTCTGTCTCTTCTTTCTCCTCCACGGTGACTTCCTTTCTCTCTCTATCCTTTTCATCTCCTACTTGTACAAGAAGAAAATGGAGATTAAGAATAGACACAGTAGCGTTAGACTACTTTTCAAGGCAGGCCATTTTAGTGGTACAGTTCAGTCAGTGCCAGTGCGTAGAATGCAGAGTGGCGAGGCGATCTAACCAGACTGCTTTTATAGTTGAGCAACGCGTTTCGAGAACGCTCCAAGTGAACAACAGCAGCAGTTTGGGAATGATTGTTGTTTGACCTTGCAATTGATTCAATGAGGAAATGTGGTTGGCCTGTTGGACTCTGCAACTCTTTCCTGTTTCTTTAAGATTCTGAGAGAAGGTAGAGTGTTAATGGAGAATACATGGGAAGTTATTGATTTAGCAACAGCTCTTTCGTTATAATTTCAGTGTGTTAGTGTTACAGGAGAATGGCTTACATAGAGAATGAAATGAAAAAAGACATGTAGAACAGAAAAGAAGTTGCCCAGAGCTTTCAGGCCTGCTTCCAACTCTTGCTTTAATGGCTTATGCTTCTGCAACTGGCAACCAGTGAATACTACCCTCCACACCACATCTCAGCACTTGTTTTCTTTGCAGAGCAGTCAGACCCTTGCTTGTGCACATCAGCGGAGTGCTTTTCTACTCAAGCTCTATATAATTTACATGCCTTTGTCCATTAAGTGAAGACATTTGCCTTTTCTCTGTGGCAGACCCCAGCCACTGTGAAAATACGTCTTTTCACTGCACTGCCGTTGAAGGAGACACTTAGCAGAGTGGCTTCAGACAATTGACGCTTATCAAGTAGCATCAGCCTTGTCAGTCCTTCCACACAAGACCACCACTGACCTCCCTGAGAGGGAACCCGCCAGGTAGACCCTTTTATATGGTCTTTGCCTAATGGCCCTCGTCCCTTCCAGATTCAGCTAGTGATGTTTGGAGAACCCTTGACGGCCCTGGCGGAGTATGTATTGGAGAGGGGCTCCACTTCTCTCCTCTTGTATCCTCTCCTCTGCTCATCTCATCATAATGCCCCAGGCAATCTCTTAATTAGCCTCCTTAATTAGGTGGTTTCTGGTTCTGTGCGCCTGGGTAAATATTGATCACATTCTGGTGAGGAGCAGCGCTTCCCTCTGATTTGCCATGGAGTGGCTTGAGAAGCATGAGGCTTGGTTCACACGATTGGGTGGATAGAGATTCTAAAGCTGCACACATGCCATTCGTGTACATTGGCATTTATGCTCGCTATTATGGAGGACTGAAACTGCCTAAATCAAAAGTAAATAGATAAATGACTCAATAAATAAATTAATGTGCCATTAAATGCATCAAATAATATTAAGAATAAATACAAGCATTAATTAAATAATAAAATGTGACATCAGCTGATATTCCTGTTTTAATTTTGCTTGTATTCATTTACTTTTGAATTTATTCCTCTATCTATTTACTTTCTCCATTAAATTTCTTTTTATTAATTTTTTTACTTATTTATCCATTTATTTCCCCTTTGCATTTTCCCCCTTCTATTTTTTATCCCAAACTTATTTATTTCTGTATTTTCTTTTACATTTCTTTATGCATTTCTGCTTCATTATGCAAATGAGGGGGCTGTCATTCAAAACCGACAACAGAATGCATAGACTGACTATGCATGCCTTGCTCAGGCGTGTGGCTAGGCTCACAATAGAGCAATCAGGAGCGAGGAAGGATCAGGAGATTGTTAGACCAATGAGGCACTTTGCTAATCTAGCTAAAAACAAGACTAGGTATAAACTTAGTTCATGGCTGGACAATGTATGGTTGTGAACCGTGGGCTTAAGGCTACGCCTTTTGTTACAGGCATTCGGGCAGTCATTCAGCCGCGCTGGCTACTCAGGAGCTGCAGGGAAGCGGAGTTGTACTTCCAATTCACTGAGCGTCGCCATAATTACGGCAAATAAACCGCATGTATTACATATATCCTTATCACTAATGGAGGCTGAGGAATAACTAAACATAAGACACACTGAGCAAGAGAGAGCAGGAGAGTGGGAGTGAGAGGGCATGCTAACTGCTAAGCTAAAGAAACTAGCAGATCTGAATAACATTAAACAAAAGAAACACCAGCAGCTGGAAATGAGACAATACATTTACTGCAACATGTCAGCACAGCAATAAAAGCCCTGTTAAGAACTACAGGGTTCCTCTCCAATGAAATGCTAGAGGGCTTTTAATCTGAAATGGTTACAGGAAGTGTTGAATTTGTATTAACACATAATGTAATAACTTTAACAGGAGTGGATCAAAACGAGGCTTCGTATACTAAAAATACTGCTATGACCAATTATAAATATCAAACACAGGGAATTAGAAATACAGGCCTGCCTCTAATACAAGCCTGCCTCAAATAAAGGTCTGTTACCTTCAGATGTTGAGATTGATAGAGGTTCACTGTATCACTGATGTGGTATAGCAAAGGTAAATTAAAAGTTCAGAACTACTGTAAATCTGCTCATTATCATGTTTAGATCCAAGACATTACTGTTATCGGGGATTCCATGTCACAGACCCAGTAGAAAAGTAATACAAAAAACATGAGGGTGAAAACATCCTCTGTAATGAACTTCATATCTCAATGACAACTCTTAATGTATTTAAAGACACAGATCATCCACATTCTATGCTATGTACATTTTATAAGTGCTGCGTTTGTTTATATCTGGGAGAGACATGAATTCCTTAACAGCTAACCTTTGGGTTGCTGGCTCAGCCTTTTTCCTGGTTCTTATCACTAGGACATGTTCTCTGTGATGAATGGGGATGAATACTTGGGAGTGATCTGTATTTGCATGTGCAGTCTATGCTTGGCAGGTTTCCTTGAGTGAACTCTTCACTTTATTAATATTCTTAATATGGATAAGATGTTTATGGGGCATGTGTTGTACAACACTATAATGTCTGAATTTTACCCAGGACATAACCAATTTTCCCTTGTGGGTGTTACACAAAAAAGAGTATGCCATCACACTAGAATTACCTTCTCTTGATCTGTTACAGTGTTATGACAACAAATAATAGATGTCTCAGTGTAGATGGAACTGCCAACTGGGGCACCAGGTGAACATATGTCTTTTTTGTTTGCCTCTCCTTGACTTGTGCCCTGTCTGCTTTAATCTTCCCCTGTGTACAGACATGCCCATATTTGGTCAGTGTCCCGCACAGGACGACTTCTACCTGGTGATGTGCAGCCACTGCGGTCAAGTAGTCAAGCCCCAAGCCTTCCAAGCACACTACGGTAAGCTTCATGCACATGCACGCACATATATGCATGTATGTACTATATATGTGCAGTTAGAATTTCATGCAGGCTTATGTTTAATAGTTTTTGAAATTATAGATTGCCCATTACAAGGAGAAGCATATATATGGACAATAAGAGTGAAGAAGGAAGTCACAAGGTAGTTTACATCTGTAGGAACCCTATATTCATGCCATACACTTCAAGGGTGGTGGTGATATTTCATACATTAACACACTGTGTTATTACTTTTTCCTCTGCCTTTGTATTTCCTTGCCATTTTTCCTTCTCCACACAGTAACGTGAGAGGGGGCGCCACAGACTTTGATTTATTTATTTATCTCACTCACTGTCTCGTGTGTGTGTGTGTGTGTGTGTGTGTGTGTGTGTGTGTGTGTGTGTGTGTGTGTGTGTGTGTGTGTGTGTGTGTGTTTACAATTCCCCTGTTAATATTTGATGTGGCTCTCTCAGTCTTCCCAGTAATGTACTGTTTTAACACATACAGCTAAGATCAGATTTCTGGTTCTGTTACTTTAGGGATGTGTATGTGTGCGTGTTTCAGTGCATGGATTTCCACTGCTTAGATAGTTAAGCTGGATCTTTGATTTGTGCTTAAATAAATGGGTGAATTATAGATCTGTGAATATAGTGACTGCATGACTGTGGATCTTATTAAACTTGCCTGCATGTTAGTGACAGCTACTGTGTCCTGTCATGTAGGGCTATTTGTTTTAAGTAAGAGTTTGTATTAGTCTGTTTGTCAGGTGAGTTTAAGAGGACAGGAATTGTTAGTCGGTTCATGTGACCTTGTTATGACTGAAATCTGATGATTAGTTTTAGTTTTTGTCCCTACACTTTCAGCATCTGAATCAGAAATCTCTGATAGCATTTTCTTCTTATCACTTGGGTCTTTTTTTGTCTTAAATGTGGATTGAGTTGTAGTAACAGAATTTTTTTCAGTGGCCCACATTCTCCATGAAATTAGACAGCAATTACAGTTGTCAAGGTCAGCCACAAGAGGGAGGTATAACAACACATGGCTCCTAGTGGAACTGTCCTTGCTACTGAGTCAACAACAGTCAAAGAGAGGACTCCTTACACACTGTTGAACAATATAGACTGACACAAGCCTGTCTGGACCATGCTATTAATTATGTAATACAGCATCCAGCTGAGTTTTCATACCTGCCTGGGGATTTTAAATGAGAAGTAGACAGACTGGACAGCAGACTGGAAGGCATTACAGTGCCTGTAAAGTAAAACAATACTGACAACATCATACCAGGCGGTGTGTACATCTTGAACTTGGTGGTATTGTTGATGCAGACAGCAATATATGATCCGTGCAGTACAAGAACCCCAAAGGAATTGTGATTTGACAGTGATTTCAAGCTGTTTATAGACATCTGCTGCTTCTGCTTCTGTAATATTAATACTTATTAATTATTAGGGATGCACCGGTCCAGTTTTTTCTCTCCGAAAACCAATTTCTAAGCTCAAAGTATCCACCAATATCAGCCTCGTCCAAGATTTCGTTGCTCCAGCAATTCATAAATCCTTCACTAAGTTTGTGTGTAATGTCTTTCCTAAGCTGTTAGTAGCGACCAGCCAGATTCAGACTAAATCAGGTTCTGCCACTAAAACTTAAATATCTGAGCAAGTGAGCAAGACTTCAGTGAAGGGTAAATCTGTAGCTCTGTCTAATGAACTATGTAAACAGGAAATCAATGTGGCATCACAACTGGCACAACTTCCACAAGTTATAGTTTTAAGGGCTCAAAATTAATATCTTTTGTAAATGTAAGTGACTTTGATTTAGGGCTGAACAATTCATCAAAATCACAATATTGCCAAGTGCAATGTCCAAATCGCAGGAGATGTAATTTTATACCATTTACCATTATAAATTAAACATTTTGGTGTTACAGAAATTCCCCCAGGCTGCAAATCATCCCCCCTCCCCATTTCTCTCTCTCTTTCTCTCTCTCTCTCTCTCTCTCTGTCTCTCTCTCTTACTGTACAATATATATATATATATATATATATATACACACACACACACACATTTCAGAGTATAATTTCGAATGAGTGGGAAACTGATGTCACTGATTTTGTAATTTGAGGTATGTCGTGTCATTTTTGTGTAATGTAATTGGAATTCTACAGTATTTACATCATTTACATAAAAAAGGAATACCTAATATGATGTCTTCAAATATCTTATTCTGCCTGGCCAATAGTTCAACACCCAAAAATTTTCCATTGTACAGTGATATAAAACAGAGAAAAGCAGCAAATCCTCACATTTGATAAATATTTTAAATGACTAATCGATTGTGCCTAAAAATAGTTGTTGATTTCTGTATTTTCTGTTGATCGAATAATCGTTGCGGCTCCACACCAGAGCAGTCTAAATCTAAGTTAAATTCTGTGGCTATGCTACTATACATGGCCGTACAGATTAGCAGTGCTTCTTGCTGTGATTTTCCTCCCGTCTTCTTCTCTCTGATGTCATTATGGGAAGACCCCATGTTGTGTTAACATGGGGCAAAGGCACTGATCTCAGCACTGTCGAGATGGTCTCAATATGATTTTAGCGTGCTTCTTTGAGCCCATCTGTCTCCTGTTAGGTGTTTGTGCTTCTCGGCTGACGCTGATCCCAGCAGGGGTGACACTCACCGCAGAATGGGAAGCTGTAAGCTCGGCTGCCGTTTTATGCATACATTTATGAACTTGTCGAACAAAGACTTGTCTCCTCACAGCTCTGCTCACACACGTACAAACATACATTTTTGAATCAAGCAATTTGAGATTGGTGTAGTTATTGTTTTTGCAACAAGAACAAGGTTATTACTGTTATATATGGGTAGTTTACATAAGCTAGGCTGTGCTACGGTTTGAACATGGTGCCTGTGGAGGCCGTCACACACTACCAACACACACTACATTTATGTTGTTCTCTCACTTCCCCAGCCAGGGATTCCCCTTAGCACCGTGCCAGTAGTTTGTCTTTCTGAAAGAGGATATTAATGCTCCTCCTAGTCCCTAGGTCTGTTGTTTTACCCCCCACCCCATAGTTTTCTTGACTCTCATTCTATTCCACTGCTGCTGGTGTTTGCTCGTCTTTCTCACTACTAGCGCTTTGTCAACAGAGCACTGCGTGTCACGCTGGGGTTTCCTGGTGTGAGTTTGTGTGCAGGGCGTGCTGTTGACTGTGACCAAGACAGGACAAGACAGTGAGAGAGGGATGGAGGGAAGGAGCAAAAGAAAGGTCTTTGGGTTAATCGGCTGCTAAGAAGTGGGAGGGAAGATAAATGGAATGCTTCTTGAATGGGTGTGTAGAGAGAGGCCCCTAGGTGAGAGGGGGGCACTCTTAAAAGTTTTTTTTTTTTTTCCTTCCTAAAAAGGGAAATTGGAAGAAGGTGGAACAGTTTGAAGGTGTGTGTTATTGTTTGCGTTTGTGGCTGAGGGAGATCAGGGAGTGGCAGCTCTGTGTGTGCGTGTGTATTAGTATCCCCTCCACTGTTTCTGCAGCAACAAGCTTGTTTGCTGGTCACCTGCTGAGACTGAGCTTTGGCTGACAGCCCACTTCCCAGCTACACCATGGAGTTAGCTGAGTAAACGGTTAGCTAACTAGGCCCACGCCTTGCCATGGGAACTAGCTGCCGACACATTCTATCAAAATCTGGTAGTGCTCCCGAAGCTGTATCCTTTTACATTCTCAAAATATTCTTTGCTGTTTTGCTCGTGCAACAAAAATGTTGACGAGAGGGTCAGGCTAATCTTCGGGAGCCTATTTCTCCTTAACTAATCAGCAGACACCTCTCTCTCTGTCATGTATGTGTCGCTCTCTCTCCCCACTTATGGTCAGAACAGAAGAAGTGTCTGTGTGACCCCTCTGTGACCTCAGAGGCTCAGTATATCTGTAAAGGAGCTGTTGCATGGCCAAGATTCAAGTTGCAGAAACCTCTGAATTTAAAGAAATGCCTTCATGAAGCTGCTGTTGTGCTTTTTCTTTTGCTAGTTTCTGTTTTGGCAGCTAATGAACTCTCTACTATGAAATTAGTCTGTGTTGTGATAAAATGAATCTTTGTTGTGGAACAGTAGTCGAAATGTCAATAAAATTATTTTTAGCGTGCCATTTCATTGCTGTTACTAAGAATAGCAAGTGATGAGAGCCTCTTATGAAAACCGAAAAGCTTTTGTGATTATTATGGGTGCACATATTAGAGATCCATGTTTACTCATTTTGGTAAACCATGGCGTACATACATTTTTTTTAAACCTTTTTTATTACTATTACTTTATTACTTCTTATTTAGTTTTCCAGGCAAGCACTTAGTGATGTGCATTTTTTTCACTCCTCTATTTTAGTCTTTCTATCTACAACTCAGTGTCGTCCCAAACCTTTTTGCTGTCATACTGCCTTTTATCAGTTTGCACAGCAACTGTTTTAAGAAGCTCAGGCAGGAAATAAAGCTCTTGACCTGTTGGCTGGTTCTATTTCAGGCTGAGTTGGCATGAATCACAAATGCTGCTTATTTGTTGTCGAGGTACTGCTCAGTACTGTCAGGGAATATTTCTATGTTCCCATGTGTTCCCATGTTCCCTTTTCTCCGGACTCATGACACAATTACTGCCACATTTACCCATATAGACTAGTCCGTTATAGTGTTTGATCAAAGCTTTGTGACACCTAATTTTGTTAACATTTATGATTTAATGCAAGCTTGGTTTATACTCTTGCTGCAGAGAGAAGACACAGTTCAGCCAGCAAGCCAGCCTCCACCTCGCCCTTCCCTGTGCCAGGCAGGAACCGGAGCAGCAGCAGTGGGCTTGGAACTGGGCTGGGCTCAGGGTCTGTAGCTGGAATGGCGACCGGAGGCATCCTAAGCAGACCTTCCACTGCTGGATCCAACTTATCCTCCTCAACTTCCTCCTCGTCCTCCAATCCCAAACTACTCAAACCAGCCAAAGAGAAGCTGCCAGGCATTCAGCGAAGACCCCCCTTTCCACCCTTCAGGATGCTCCAACCGGACAAGACACAGTAAGTTTCACTGTGTAATATTTGCAGTATAGTGTGTTGCTAGGATCGCACAAAATAATGATGCATACCAAGACTACGACTGAATGATGAATTGTTTTTATGTTGAAATTGCAATGTGAAATTGTGCAGTGCTTATTTAAATTGCAGGAGCTGCAATTTTAATTTTAACTTACACAATTTAACCGCGTCTCAACGAGCCGTAACAAGTGAGAGTTTAAGCCGGTGACTGGTGATTTCATCAGCTATAATGACTTATATAAAACTTGCTGGCAGATTGCCTCACGTCCATTCCAGTTCGGTAGCTCAGCTGTTTTGTTGAATGTAAATGACTCGGTTGGTGAACACAGTTTTTGCAATTTCTCTGTTAAACATTTAAGCCAATGACTGTAAATAAAGAGAGATAACATGGCAGCTCCCTAAAAGTTCATCCAAAACGTCTCAAAGTACGCGTCAAATCATTTTTTCCAAAAGATGGTTTCTGTTTCTGTTTTAAAACGGGAGTGTAACGTCATGATTGACAGCTGGGATTGAGTCCCGATTGAGTCAGGTGGGTGTAAGGGTAGGGCTTTGATACCGCGGTTCCACTCACTACTGTGACTCAGACTCAACATGTCACCAGCACAAGATGGCAGCACTCGTATCTGGAATACTTTGGCTTCATTTTTGTACAGTGGGAGGAAGTGGAGGCGCTTTGTCCATCTTTATATACAGTCACTTATTTAATCACATATTTATGATTATAATCTTTAAAAGCCTTAAACCGAGATCCCCAGCTGTGAAGCTCAGGCAGCTACAATACAGAGCTGTCATTGGGCAATTATTATTATGAGGCTAAACTTATTAGTCAACTCTGGGAGGACCACAATGACACACAACTGGATTGTTTTACCTGATTCTATTTTGTAGAAACACTTTGTGATCATCCTTGGTCCCATGATATCTTGTGCAGACCTCTAATACAGGCCTGTAGTTTAATTTATATAACACACAGTTTAAAACACACTATTCATTAGAAATATTACAATTAAACATAGCCAAGACAATAGAATTGTATTTAGCGTTTAAAGTTTATAAATTAAATTTTCATAAAATGAACACTATTACAATATCCTGATATAGAATTACAACTTCTGTGAGTGAATGTTTTATCCATTTTGTGCATCCCTGTGATGAGCTTTTCTGATCTATAAATGTGTTTATATTGATTGGTCAGTAACTAATCAATGGTGTAATGAACAAAATTGGATAATCATTACAATGTTATAATTCTGATACATGTTGGGAGAAGACAGATTTAAATATGACTATGCATTTGCAAAGATATGTTTTAAATTTTTTATGTTTTAAAAAAACTCTTAAAGCTCATGTTCACACCACCTTATACAGTTTTATCTAGGTTTAGATTCTCTTTTTACTGAGTAATTGTTAATGTTATTAATTCCACTGGTGCTTTTTCTGCTATGACAAGAAAAAGGCCTATATAGTGTCATTTACTTGTTATTAAATCTATATTTCATACAGGATCTGTCAGAGGAAATGAATACATTTGAACACGTTTTTTTTTCTTTGTTTTGTTTTGATAAATGATGGATCATATTAGTTTCATGTTTTGTCCACCCAGCTCCATTCATACATGTACATCTGTCTCTTACCATGCGTTTCTCACTGGCTCAGTGTTTCTAACTCTCAGCTTCCTCCTTGCTGCCCTCTTCATCTCTGTAACCTTCTCTTTCAGCCTCACCCCGGCTGTCAAGGTGGAGAAGATGCACCTGAGGGTGGACTCGTCAACTAAGCTGGTGCAGGCCCCATCTGCCCCCAACACCACCTCATCCTCCTCCACATCCTCCTCTAGCACCACTGTGAGCTCCAACACTACCACCATCACCACCTCCTCCTCATCAGCCCTTAAACCAGGCCTTAACTGTCCCTCCATACCAAAGCCTCCATTACTGGCCCCTGGTCAGATTCCCAATGGCAAGGGCCACCTCTCAGTCCTCTCGGACAAGAAGCAGGACAGCAGCAGCAGTGCCAGTAGCAGACGCCACCTCAGCAAGAAAGTAACAGGTGTGCTGGATAAAAAAAAACAAACAAAAAAACACTTGCTGTTTTATACTGTTAACAGTTAGTATAAATTCTGTTAAGATTATGGCATATATATTCTTAAAGCACAGTATAACACAAACCACTGATTTGACACAGTATATGTAAGTAACAGTTCTCCCTCACTCTTCTGCTTTGCCTTCAGAACGTGAGTTCAATCCGGATATCCACTGTGGCGTTGTGGATATGACAGCTCGGAAACCATGCACAAGATCTCTAACATGCAAGGTAACCAGTCTCTGTATTTTCTTTTTAGGGCAATGTTCTGCAGTTTTCTTCAACAAATCCTATCAAAGGACCAAATCCTTAAAAATGAACTCGAATGTGAATTTCTTCACTATTTGTGTAAAGAACGATATAACAGTAGTGACACTGCAGCTACTGTGAATATTTTCACATTTTTCAAAAGATAATAGAACAGTTTTTGGACACACTAGCTGAAGCAGCGTTTAAGCATCAAGCTTCTGGGTGGGCATTTCCCACGACAGCAGCTGACTGACAGTTGAGCACCAGTGTTTCTAGGACATGTCAATGTCTGTGGTGTGGTACTGACTGGATCATGACATACCCCTATAAAGCCTACAAATGTAATAAAGGAACATGTTGCAATGTGATGGTTGCTTGTTGATGTGTTTTTAAGTTTTTGGACAATGATGGACATATCAGACTTATTCTTGAATTTTTTTAAAGGATGGTTGTGATTATTTTCAGCAAAGTTACACATGTATCACACATCCACAAAACCTGTGAGAGATATATCTTACATGTACAAATCTGGATAAAAAACAGAAGCCATCATTAGTCTAACCTTAGCAGTTTCACAACCCAAACAACAGTTCTGACCTTTGACCTTTTCAATGTCACACCAGACACATTCCTTAAGCCAGCGGAGGGCGGTGCCAGGGCGGAGGAAGCGGTTTGACACACTGCTGGCAGAGCACAAGAACAGAACAAGGGAGCGGGAGAGGGAGAGAGAACTCCACCAACCCCATTCCCAGCAAAACCCCCCTCTCAGGGACCCACACCCCTCCTCCCACCTCGCCGCTGCCCATGACCCCCACCAGGTGGCTCATGGCAACGGCCCCGCCCCAGAAGCCACTAAGCCTTCGCCACTCGGCAAGCCCAAATTTCACAGCCCTGGTCTTCCACGGTAAGTGCTGCGTCGGACACATTCACCGTGTAGGCTTGTATTATGTGTTGTGAGACCAGACAAACACGATTGCAGTTTAGCATGTGGCACATTTTAGCAGATGACTGACAATTGAGGACCAGTGGTTCTCAAAACTGTTTTTATGATTAAGGTGAAAATGAAACAGCTACATTATCTGTCTATCAGACTAAACAGCAGTCACGGAGGTGGTACCCCCGGAGACCCTGCAGTAGTCCATGAGTCACCACACCATCCCCAAACTACCCCCGATGGGTTTTCCCGACCCTCCAGCGATGAGGGAGAGAACGAGGAGCGGGAGGACAACGCTGACAAACTGGACTGTCACTATTCAGGTTATCACCCTCGACCGGCAGCTGTAAGTTTTCTCTAGCATCACTGATCTGTGATAAGCCATAGACAATTTCATTTTGATACAGTAGTTAAACTATGAAGGTTTGATGATTTTTTTATTTTTTTGTATTATCTGTACCCCTTTCTTTTCCCAGTACTGTACCTTTGGAAGTCGACTGTTTGGGAGAGGCTGTTACTCCTTTGACCGAAGATGGGACAGAGTGCGATGTGCCCTAACCACAATGATGGACAAGCACGTTAACTCTCAGATGTGGAAGTAAGTCTGTCCAGCTCAGATTCTTCATGTTAATACTGCAAGAGGTTGATGCATAAAATAATCTAAAAAAAATTGTATTAAGTAGCGTGACATGATGTTTACACAGACGGAGATGATAATTACCCGTCTTACTTCTTAAGGTGAGATTTATTGACTTGTTAACAGTCAGAGCTAATGAATGATATTGTCCTTGTTGCAGGAAAATCCCCTTGGCCTTGGAGAACTCCTCCTCCGTTGCACCTACCCATAGGACAAGCACAAACTCCCATGGTAGCACTCCCTCCTCAGGCTTCCTGGGCCCCCCTGCCACCTTGCCCCAGACTCCTTATAGCCAATCCTACGAGGGCAAATCAGTGCTCTCCTATGGGACCACCTTAAATGCCCGCAGCTCCCCACAGGGTGGGGCTGAGCACCCGGCCTACGGCACCACGCAGGCCCGACAAGTGTCTTCGTTGCCGCAGATGCCTTCAGCCCACTCGTCCTCATCCTCTTCAGCTCCTTCCCTAGCCTCAGGCCGGGCGCTCAAGTCCCGCTCCTCCAGCAGCAGCACTACCAAGTCGTCATCGTCCTTCAGGCCCAAGGAGATCTCCTCTGGCTCCTCCACACCTGTCATTCCCAACTCCACTGGTGGGGGCAGCAGCGGAGCCAACAGTAACAGTAGCAGCACTAGCTTCAGCTCGGGGAAGAAGAGGAAGAACAGCTCTCTCCTCTCTTCATCCCATGGCTCCTCTGAATCCTCCTCTTCTAATGCCAACTACTCTTCTTCCTCCTCCTCCTCTTTCAAGAAGAACTGTGCAAATGTCAGCAGCTCAGGGAGCACCTACCACCACAGCTCATTAGGTTCTGCATCCTCATCATCATTATCCTCCTCCCACAGCGGAGTCCACAGCGTGGGGCTTAACTGTGGCCCCACTGTGCGGACCAACTCGCTTAGCCTCAAGGCCGAGTCTTCTGGAGGTTCAGCAGGCGGCTCCTCAGGGCCCCCTGCACGAGGTCCTCCCTCGGGCAGCCCTGCAGAATCCATCAAGCGCATGAGTGTGGTGATGAACAGCAGTGACTCCACCCTTTCCCTGGGGCCTTTTGTACACCACCAGTCCTCATCCTCATCTGACCACCACACCAGCTTCAGCCACCACTCCACAGACGGGCGTTTGGAGGGCAAGAAGCGCAAAAGTTCCCCTGTCTCCAGCAGCATTAATAGTGGGGGTGGGGCAGGAGGGCTCGGAGGAGGGGGACCCGGTACAGGTAGACCCAAAGTGGCCAAGTCACCTGCCATTAACAACATCCATGGGAAGCATGGGCGGAGCATTCCAGGGACGCCAGGGCTGCCCAACAACTCCCATTTACATCAGGTGAGTTTTGAATTCTGTAGCAGTCTGGATGGGTTTTAATAACATCTTTCCATGAGAGATAAATATGTGCATGACTGTAGGGATGGCAATCTCAGTCTGTCTGTCTGTTCATCTGTCTTTGCTATAGACTGAAATATCTCAACAAATATCAGATCGATTGCTGTGTAATTGTATAATTTTGTACAGATATTCGTGGTCAATCATAGGCGCAGGTGATGACTTCTCAAAAATCAGAAACTATTGAATTATACGGTGTCTAATACTTTGTTAGTCTTCTACCTAACGTACTGTTGTAATTAAATAAACGAGTGCGTCATTGTAAAGTCATATCAAGAGGAACATTACCTTATAAAGAGGTGGCTGTTAGTTGACATTGACCAATTTGTATTGTTTGCATGTACAGAATTAACAAAAACTGCTAATTGGCTTGTACCCTTAAGACTCATATTTGCAGCCGTGTTTGTCAGTGAAACATTTTCATTAACTATTATTTTGGCAGTCCAGTGTAGTTACAAGAGGATACAATAGGTGAAACTCATATGAGATCGCAGCTTTTCCCAGGATTCAACTTGTCAATTAAATTTATTAAAGATACTGATAGGCCTGAGAAGTTTTACACTGGTAGAGTTTCACATGTTCACCTAAAGCAATCGAGCCTGCTACCAAACAAAACACATTTTGGGCTCAGGTTGAGGTTTTTCCACCTGAATAACTTGTCAGACACTGAAGTACGAAGTGATGAATGGGAGTATTGCGACCCTTTGTGCTTGCCTAGAATGTGTTACTTTTACTGACTGAAAGCATTTTAAGTGTTTTTTTCTTTCTCTTCCCCAGCCAAAGGCTCGTCCCTGACAGCGGTGTCCGGCTTCAGTGTATGGAACCGGCAGGCGGATGGGGAATAGTCCGGAGCAGTCCGCATACTGCTCTGGACTGCACGAGGCCTTTTAAAGTCAAACCCACATTACTCTCAGCTTCCCACAATCCTCAGGGTGGAGATGATCTGGACTGCCCAGTGAAGTCAATGTGGTCCTTACTAATTCTCCCAAAGCCATGTGTGCGTGCGTGCGTGTGTGTGTGTGTGGGTGTGTGGGTGTGGATGTGGGAGTGGGGCAAGGGGTGCGGTGGTACTGTATGGGCATAACAGTGTGGAGCACCAAGGGTCTAATGAGCGAGCCAAGGGACCCCCATCCCCACCCCACACAAGTGTTGTCCCAGTATTCTGAGAGGTCTTCCTGCCTAGTTGGTAGTAGGAGAAACAATAGCAGCAGCCATGAGCTGGGGTTCAAAGCTCATTGGGTTCAGGTTAAGGGCTGCCGCAACAAGTCGTCATGATGCTGAGCACCTGGGGAGACAACAAGCCGATCTCTTCCGTGTTTGTTAAAGAATGACTGTGTGAATGTGCGTGTGTGTAAGAGTATTTTTCTCATGTCAGATTCTGCTGGACTACTGGAATTTCCAACTTAAATACACCCCCAGCGCCTGATCTCAGAAGCCTTGGAAGGAGAGCAGGAGGAGCAGCAAACTGTTACTTGCAACACCTTAAACAACACACAATCACCTTGGTGTTTCACTTTTACATTAGTCTGACTCTCTGGCGACACGTTGAGTAACCTTTGGTTACACGCAGTAGCCTGAGACAAGCCCATAAGGACGATCTGGTCAATTCTTTTATTACCCAGAATAATTATGCAAGTGTTACCTTTTTATGATTTCTTATGAGCTTTTTACACTGAACTACAAAGAGTCTTTGTAGACGTGATGAAGACAGTTGTGCTTTCAAATGTGAAAAGGACGCCTGATGTGCCCATTCGATTGAATCTTTTGTCAGAGAGATAGCTTGGTATTGAGGACACCTGTTAATTTTCAGAATCTTTTCATTGTGCAAAATGATAGCCACAGTAGACCTACCCCCAACTGTGAACAGCACTAAATAACTGCTTTCTCCACAGGCACTGCTTACATGTCCACAAAGCTAGCCAAAAGCTGCTATCAGCTTTGCCAACTACATTTTTTCTTTTCTTATCTTTTTTTTTTTTTAACTAAAAGGTGGGCTGTCTTGCTCATGAAGCGGTGATGGTGCATTGCCTGGGTGGATATGAAGAAAATCTGTGCAAACCATATTGTTATTGCCACAACTTACCTACTTTTTACCCATACAGCTGTGCAAAATCCACTGCTGCTTGTGGGCAGATGTGAATTGTAATGTTTTATTTTTCCTACATAGGGAATCAGGTATGGTACGACTTAACTGGAGCAAGCTTTATGCACGTCACCTGTCTTCTGTGGGTATGATTGTCCCTCTTGTGTAACCACTACCCAAGCTCTGGATGTTAAAAGTTTCAATGCCTCGCCGTAACACTATATTGTGTGAGCTGAGAAGAGATTTGTCACAGTAGAACAGATAGCCAGGCATAATACTCTATTCCTTTTGTCAAAACGGAGTCTTAAATCAGGCAATACTTGCCCATTTTGTTGGGATGTTTGCTTATTTTGTGTGGTCTCGAGTGGATTTTATGGTGCGAGATTCATGGAGATGGCTTCACGGGACATATTTAAACTTTTGGCACCACATGTTGATTTATGGAACATCCACTGATGTCAGATAGTGTGGAAAAGTAGAGACAATTTTTTTAAAAAGAATCTTAATTTAGCTTTTTTTCTTGTAGCCTATGTATCAAACAAGTATTGAAGTATCCCTATTTGAGAATACATATTTTGTTAACAAATTGTACATAGTGAAATATGTATTTTTGCACAGGCATTTTTTCGTACACGCTGAATTTTTTGGTACAATTTAAAAAAAAAAAATAAAAAATAAAAAAAAAATAAAGAAAAAAAGTCATTATTTATTTAGTAAAAGAAAAAAGATGAAAAGTCAGAGAACCTGACCTGACCTATTTGAAGTGGTTCACTGCCAAGTCTATATAATGCAATACACCTATATGTAGAAGCTGAAGCATCTCATGAATCGTTGTACTGAGATCCTTTATGGAACAACGGTGAAGTGTTGCCACTGTAGCATGTGTCTGTATGACAGAATACCTTTATTCACTTTTCAAGGTCTCAATCACACGTGCTTTTACCAGACATTTTACGTTGCCTATGAATCAAGACAACAAAAAGACAAATTTACGATGTGACCCAGTTAGCCTGTGATTTTGAAATGTCCTGCAGGCTTGAAGCTGCGCCCATTGTCTAAACTACTTTCCATGTACTCTGCAGAAACTTTGTAGACCTTAAACACATTTCATGATTGGAACACTTATGTTTTATAAAGGCTGAAGGGATTTCAGCTACCATTGCAACTGCAGCTGCTTGCATCATCGTTGCCAAACAAGTAATTTGAATCACAGCTTTTAAAGAAATAGTTTGCAGCTTTTAAAAAAAATATCAAATTAAGAAAGTGCCTGAATTTGTTTCACCATGACTGTTTGAGGACAGTATTCTTTGGGTTGTTTTACCTTACTTGAATGTTCGATGTGTTTAGGAGTTTGCTTTTAAATCTGCCTATGAACCCTAAATGTGGTAAAACCTGAGCTTGTCAGCTGCCCAGTATGAAACACTTTAGTGTTGTGCATTTTTTTGGGTTTATCCAAGTTTTCCAGACAAGACGTTGAGATTTTCAGTTAGCCTCAGTGCATGGCTTAGACCGCCTCTGGTTTACTGGGATTTGTACGTAAGAACCTTCAATCAAGTGTTTTGTTTACCCTCAAACTCCACTGACATCTTGACCATCGTTTCCTGTACATGGAAACATTCGCAAGGATGTTTGTTTTTTTTTTTAATCAGCACCATAGACTTGGAATGTGAAAGCGAGAGAGAATTAGAGCTCGTGTCTGGGAGGAAAAAATAAATCCACCATTCATACTATGTAAAAGCGTGTATAGATTTTTTTTTTTGTATACATTATCAGAATCATTTTCAGCTGGACTTATGTATTGGCTGCTATGTAATTCATGAACAAACATAGGTTAGAATTAATATTTAAAGAAAAAAAGATTGTATAGTATATTTGTTTTGTAACAAGTTTCTGTAAATAAAATAATTTATACTGCTATTTATATGAAATCATGTGTCTGCCTCTTTCCTAAAATAAAAACTGCAGCAACAAATACAGTGTCAACAGTTAAACAAATTTTATTATATACACAATATAAGAAGTCACTTTGCCAGACAAACCACAGGTGTGGGTATACCAAGATTAATTCCCCCCTGCTGTAATGAGAATATGGCCGCTGTTACATGTTGATAACTCTCGACAACTTCTGGACTCTGTTGAGCAGCAGGTCGCCCTTCTTGATGGTTTCCTGGTACTGCCAGTTTTTGCTATCAGGTCTGGAAAGAAGGAGGAAAAGATTTGATGTTCTGCACCTGGTTACTGAGCTATGTGTTGGATTTATTGAGGTTTGGAAACGGCAACATTACCTATTGGTTTCCACAATCTCATTCACTTTATCAATTTTGCAGTGGAGACGGCCAGCGGCAATGAATCGGGACAGTTCCCTGAGAAAAGGAGGAGATTCATTTCAGTTAGCCAGAAAACGTTAGTATCCCTGAGACCTTCATTTGAACACATGACGCCAAAAATGAATACTTACGACTTAAGGGAACAGTTCAACATTTTGGGAAATGTGCTTATTCACTTGCTGAGTTTTAGATGAGAAGATAGATACCACTCATGTCTGTAAAGTAAATGTTAGGCTACAGCCAGCAGCTGCTTAGCATAAAGTCTGAAAACAACGAAGCTACAAACAACTTGAGGTATCAGTCTTCCAGTCTAACTCCCACCTACAAAGTGAAAAAGTATGTTTCTCAAAATATTCCATTTAATGTTCCCAGGAAGCTTAAATTGAACATTATTTGATTGTGAATCAATGCCCGCACCCACTAATGATTGAAAGATAACACAAGTAAAACTGAACATTGGCTCCTATTTATTGAGCCTATGAAGTTTAACCCTATGCAAGTATCTTAAGGTCTGAATTTCTAACCCGATGCTTGAAAACACCAATCCTGATATAAAGATGCTGATCCATCATGCATCTAACAATTAATCAGTTGAGATTATCTATTACTGAGGACAATAGAGAGAACCACTGCTAGGATTTCTGTAGTGACACAGGCTTAATTTGTGTACAAGACAAATTTTGAAAATGTAGCACATAGACATGGTGTGCTGGCACTCACTGGTCAATGAACTCTGTGCTGACACCAAAGGCCTCAGCCATGTAGCCCAGGGTGAGGGAACGGTAGGACTCTAGCAGCTGGCTGTAGGCCTGGATCCTCATCTCCCTCACATAATAGCGGTAGTGTGGCGCAAAGAGCCAGTCCTTCTTCATCTCCTGCTCCACCATGGCTGTGGCACCAAGAGAAAAAAGGTTTCACATTCATTATTGAAGTGTCATGATGTGGCAAAGCAGGAAAAATATGGTAGTATGTAATACATTTTGAAATATACTGAATGGAAGACTGTAAGAAAGTGTGTGGCCTTCTACCTAAAAATAATAAACCACATACAGACAATGGCAGTTTTATTCAACGAGCAGGGATGAATGAAACAGTCACAAACTGTAGTTTTTCCGTAAAAGCCTTCCTCACCCAAAGACTGGAAGAAGACAGAGTAGCGGCACTCGTAGAGTGAGAAAAGATACTGGCGAACAGCAGGCAGACTGTGCAGCACCTCCAAGATCTCTGCACCCTTTATTACCTACAGAGAAACATATTTAAGACATTTAACAGCAGGTGATCAGCTGATTTACACATGCTTCGAAAAATGTGCAATGCAGTTTCCATCGATCACATCTTGTGAGTATACGCACTCAGTCCCTCTCCTACCTTTTCACGGAGGTCAGGCCTTTTGAGGGCGATCATGCAGACGTAGACAGTGTAGGTAACAAAGGTCTTGTAGTCCATGAGCTCATAGGAGGTGAAGGTGGAGACTGTGTCAAGGAAGAGCTCAGCAGCTTGCTTGAAATCCCTGATGGCAACACAGTACAGGCCCTGGTAGACCTTCAGGCGATTCCTCCTGTCCCAGTCTCCCCCCTCCTCAATAAGGCTGCAGAG